GGATTATTTAAATTTTGGCAGTTGTATATGTCAGGTATAGAAAAGGTGTTTATAGAAAAATTAGTGTTATTTTAATCAGTGTGAAAAGTGTTGAAATTTTCATGCTATTGGAGTCTTATTAAGTCTTGGATATTGTGTCTAAATGGTAAATATTTTCTTATGTATCATCGACATTATCTTAATTTACATAAAATTAACAATTAGACATACTATGTGTAATATTTAGAAAGAATAGTCTTGGCTTACTTTAATTCACATAAATTGTGCTCTTAACATTAAATTATGGCACAGTGGATAGCCTGAAAAGTTGCTAATTGGCTAAGTGGTGAAGGTCATTGTTTGATCCTCTGTGTTGTTCAGGGTCTGAAGCCAAAAATTATATCAACATTAAGTAAACAATCAATGCAGGAACCTTTATGTTTTTGGTTAGATTTTAATAAAGTCTGGCCAAGTTTGTTTGATCATTTAATTACAACCAGTCCAACTGCTGTTTTAAACTAAGTAAACAAATTTACTGAATTTATAAAGTGTACTTGATTGCCCTTCTTTGAATTTAGAACTTTTACAGTCCATCATTACCTCAGTGTTTTTTTTATGCAAAGAATTTAGTATAGAACATAATAGATGTGGAAGGTCTATGTTCTTGAGACTTTGCTTGTGACATTGTTGATTCCTTATCACCTAGTATTATGAAAAAGTTTGCAAACTCCATCAGCATTGAAGGTCAAGGCTAAGACTTCTGTCAGTGACATTTCCCTTTCATTTTAGACATAAAAAAGTCTTAGTTCTCTCTTATAAAATTATGTCTTTGCTCTATAAAACATCATCAAAACACGACCAACAAACAATTATAAACTGTTTTATCATCTATTTTATTCAAATACAAGGGATATTTTATGTGCTTCTTGATGACTGTATCACATTTTTAGTATTTTTATTGTCCTACATGGAAAGAAGCCAAAATGTTCACATACTTCTTATGTTTCATAAAATTACAATTCATTAAGTTACACTGTATTAAGTTTTATAATTGGGATGAAATTTGCGATGTGGTTAAAGAAGAAATATAAAGTAGGTTCATTTAATTTTGCTGAAATAATAACGTTTTGATCAATTGCTGTTGTGATTTTTTTATTTTGGAAAGAAAATAGTACCTGCGTAGGAATACAATACTAAGGTAGAATTTTAATGTCTTTGAATAGAAGTAACGGAAGCCAAAGCATAAGTTTAGGATGTCTTTTGTTGAAATGTTTCAAACTATAAATTACTTTCTTTCAATTTTTGCTTCATTTGATAACCATGTTAAGAAAGTAAAAATGTTACAGAAACTGTAAAAAAATATGTAAAGTTATACCAGTAACTTGGTGATATAATAATTTCAAGGGACATTTTCATTTTCGATGAGGAAATATGATATGCTCATATTTGATATTAGTTGCTACACTGTCTCTTTGTAAAAACAAAATCAAGATGTTTCGACTTCACGGACCGCCTCCGTGGTTGAGGGGTTAGAGTCGATGACTTCTAATCCAATTACCTTTCTGGTGTGGGTTCGATCCCCGGGAGATGCTTTGGTAGTTTAGCACAGAGGAAGGTAGTCTAGTACTGGTGTAACTCTCCAGGAACGATGGTTAGGAAACTACCCGCCTAAATGACTGAAATACTGTTGGGAAAAGGGCGTAAAAAGAAACAAACAAACAAACAAAGTTTCGACTTCATACTATGTTTTAAACTTAGCCACAATATGAATGTAATATTATAGTGTCATCATGTAAGGACCAACATTACTTGGCCTGTAATAAAGAATGGAGCTTTCCATACATAATAATTTTGTACATTTTTTTATTCAAATTTAAGACATATTCTGTAAGAATATTATAAAATTCAATAAATTTTTTTGATAAAATTATACTGCTCAAAGATGAGCATAGTATATCTTTCAAAATCAACATTTTAAGGATCCAATAATTTAAACATTTCCATAGTTATTTTTAATTAAAATTTGTCAATATACAGTATAAATCTCACAGGGATGTTTGAAAATTCTTGCTTATACTACATACACATCATGTAGAATGCTTTAATGATTTATATATTTTAATTAGCATGAACTTTTGTCCTAGTCTACTTAAGGTACAAAACAACAAAATCTCATAAAAAAAAAAAAGAGAGAAAAAAAGAAAGAAAATTATGTTTGTGTGTTGTCAGTTGAAATCACATGTCACATTATCCTAAGATACCAATTACGATGCAGGTACTCATTTTAGACTCGGATCTCCGGTAATTTTGTAGGAGATATCTATTTCTAATACGGCTGTCATTGAAAATGAGATAATTAGAATGCTTTTTAAAGAACATCCGTTTTTGCAAAAATTAAATGTTTGATATGCACGTTGCAGAGAGACGTAAATCATTTCTTAAAATCGTGAAACGTTGTCTTAAATCAGTGCAAATAATAGGTTACAACTTGCACATTACTCACGCTGAGTTTCTTCTACATCGTCTAATTACGGACAAATAATTATAAGACATGCAGGAGTCGGATCACCGTTACATAATGAGTCTCCCCTGCATCTTTAACGATAATCTGTCGTAAAATTGGCGACACAAAAGAAGTTTTTGGAGCGAACATGCATTTTTGCACGCTTGATGTTAGATCTGGCGTAAATAAGAGAATTGTTTTCAAAATTTTCACAGTTGCGCTAGTCTGTCAAAGGAACAATAAGTCACAGTTTACAAGGCTAGACATTTGATTTATGTTTAAAATTATAAAGATATAAAACAAAGACAAGTCGCATTAATTTTAACAGTTTTTTCGTTATTTTTTTCATTTAATGTCTTACTATGAACAGTCTTCTAAAGTATTTCACAGTTGTTGCTGTTAATTAATAAGGCACACTATATGTCATGAATAAAATTTGTACATTAGTACTTCAGTTATTTAATTATAAAATGTTTCACTTAAATACATTTAACTTCAGTTTCAAATTAAGTCAGATAGATACTGTACACATCATAATGGTCATTTAGTGGCTTAAAGGCCCATTTAGCGTTAAAATGATCATTTTCATTTTTTCAAAGCTTTCCATTTTGTGGCAACCTGTGACAGTTTCCAAAAATGTTACTCAGTGACCATATACATCTTTGACTTCTTTTGCTACCTTTATTACATGTTATTTCACCTTGAACACACTTCTCATCTCATGGAAAGCAGCTCATAACATTGTTCTAATTCCATTATCAAAACATTATATCATAAATCTTTTCCTTTTCTACTGAAGGAAAAATTTATTTCTGATGCTTGATGTGCCTTTAATGATTAATATTTACTGATCTACCATGTTTTAAGGCAGGCTAGCATTAAGTCATACAGTTTTACATTTTTCAGAAATTGCTTCAAATCTGCAGTTTACATTTAAATATTTGGACTAGCTAGCCTTTGGATATATAGCTTCCATCAGACATATACATGTACCTTTGGATAAAAACAAAGCATTCTGTTACATGGATACAAAGTGTCTCAATATCTCCCGAATAAAATCAAAATACTTGAAGGTCATGACAATGACAAATCATGGAAGATATATACTATGAAATTACTATAAATTACTGATACCACACTAATATGAAGTGAAGTCATTTATTTTGATAAAACCATTCTCCCAGGCAATCTTCCCCCTTACTGATAAATTTGACAGGACACTAAGATAGTATAAATGCTTTACCATACTGTGCAATACTAACTTGGTGTACCATACCATAAATTGATGAAGATTATTTGCTGGCAACTGAAGTGTTTGCGAAATATGTTTTCCTTCACTCAAGTCCTGTCCTCCGGGACAAGCATTATTCAAATTGTAATTTATACACCTAGGTAGGTAATTTTCAGTGTAGTAAAGTTTTAATCGTAATTTTTTCGTTGTAAAGGGAGAATTTCATACTTTTGATATGCGAAGCGAAGAAAAAACATCAAATTTGCTTAAAGGGAAAAAACAACATTGTAAATGTTTTCACAAAAGGAATTTCTTACATGGATTAACACTAGGATTAGAATGTGATTCAGAATTTAACAAAATTACTTGTCTCTTTTGGATTAAGCTGGATACGAAAATATTTACTTAGTTTTAGCACTTTCTTTTAAGAGAAGATCCGCAGCTTATTGCTTTTGCCACTTAATTAGTTGGTGCGATAATTGTAAAGATTTTGTCACGAATGTGTGAATGAACGTTTAAAGGTATTTGTCCTAGATAAAAATAGTTCTTTGTCACAGTTAGAAGATATAATTATACGTCTTTGAGTTAATGTCATGGCCTTAATGTATTCTTCATCATGATACAAATATTTTAATCTTATTAGAGTAATATATGGATTTTATTATCAGGACCTATATCATAGAGGTATGAATTAACCTGAAATTAGTTGAACGGCTTTGTTCAAATATTTGAACTATAATATCTGTGTTATTGCTTGTAAACAAATAAAACTCAGTTTTGTATCAGTGTATCTTCTGTCAAGTGGTTTTGTGAACGGGCACATATCCCATCAGGCATCAGAATTTGAAAAAGATTACAAAAGTAGTTCTGCGTAGGAATTTATACGTTAATACAATTGAGGAATAATTAATTTAAGTTAAAATCTAAAGTATGTCATTCAATTAATGTTTTAGGTAAGATTGATTTTAAATTAAAGTTTATAATTGAGTTTGGGTTATCTGAAAATTAATTGTTCAAGAATAAAATGTATAAATTTTGCTATTCTATTTATTGGATTTTTAAGTTGAAATTTAAGGCAAATGGGGGTTATGATGTCTTAATTACATTAATTATTAGACAAGTAACAATTTACATGAAATTTTAAAAGTTCTTATGGGGATACTTTGGAATTCGGCAAATATAGGTTTTTCAAACCGTTAATCAGTGCAATGCATTGACCTTCCTATTGAGAAGAAGTTGTGCATCGTGAAGCTGTAATGGTAAATGTTTGATCCCTGGGATTTAAAGATGGGTAAAAAACCCGTATTTGCTGAGTTCTGGATATCATCAATAAAGAAATAATGTTATAGAATGTGTTCTTTTACACAAATGGATTAACAATTAGGCTGGCATTACAAAAAAAGTACAAATGACTAGTATAAAAAATTGTAATCACACCATTTGAATTATTTTCTTATGGCAAGAACGGATATAGAATTAGGGAGGTGTTACATTTTGATAAGTATATAGGTCCTGTGCGGATGTAGAATTAGGGAGGTGTTACATTTTGATAAGTATATAGGTCCTGTGCGGATGTAGAATTAGGGAGGTGTTACATTTTGATAAGTATATAGATCCTGTGTGGGAGTGATTTTTTTTTTTACATCACGGAAAACAAACATTCTTCTTAAAGTGTTAATGACTTCCGTCAATGTTATAATTAATTAATTGTTCAGATCTATATAGGATATTAGGAAAGTAGTAATATATGTAAAGTGCAATGTAGGTAGGGCCTACTTATCCTGTACTACAATAAGTTGTTACATTTTCGTACTCAAGTCAATTGTTTATTTTCCAGTTATAAATAATTAATTGTTCAAATTTTAGAATATATGTGAAGTGCCGATTAAAAAAAAATGCTGAGTAGGCAGTATTATTTTTGAGAGTAAATGTTATATTTATATAAGAACAATTGTTTATTTCCCGATATGACATTCTTTCAGGAAACTGGAGTCAGAGCGGAACAAGTAGTAATCGACATTCGTTAGACTCGGACCTACGCAGCGAGGGATTTAAATTCACATCACAGTATTCACTCGGAAAAGACTCTGGCAGGGACTCTCTTACATTGGAGGAGGAAAATGAGTAAGTACTGACTTCAGTTATTAAAATGAGTGTGTTTCTTAATTTAAACATTTTATTTCAAACCATAATTTTCTAATTAATAAAGAAGGGTGTAAGGTGTGTAATGTGTTTCTCAGTTGTTGATGCTGTCAGATTAAACAAAATATATTGTCAACCACTTGATCAATTTCTTATATGGAAGTCATGGAAGGAAAAAACTAATTTGAACAAAATTAAAATTCACAGCCTAATAAAATCCACATTTGTATTAAAATTAAATACAACAATTTAAAAAAAAAAAATATAAAAAAAAATAGTCAATGTTTTTAAGAAAAAAATATTAAGTGTTTTATATGGCATTAAGTTTACTGAACAATATAATTCTTTGTCATCAAGATACTGATTTGTACAAATACTCAACATTTGTAGTGAATTAAATACAACAATTGTTGGAAAAAAAAAACATAATAAAAAAAGAAAATCATACAAAATTAGATTTTAATGAAAAATTATATTATGTGTTTTATATGGCATTAAGTTACTGAACAATATAATTCTTTGTCATCAAGATCTTAATAAAAGTTAACCTAGAAAAAAGAAAAAGGTCAGGAAATAAGAATCTGAGTGAAAAATCTGACTTATATAAAAATAATCTTGAGATGACCCCCTGGATAAATAAAACAGATTTAAAAGATTATCTGTCAGATAAAATGTATTTCATTTAAAACTTCACTCAGATAGGCATCTATGTTGACAAATGACAACAAAAATTATCTTTGATTTTACTTATAGATAGTAGCTCAACTATTTAGTAAGCATCATTGATGTGTTTTTAAGTAAGGATAACATTTTTGGACTAGTATTTGGACTAGTATTTTAAGTCTTATTCTTCAACAAAACTTTGTGTATTAATGTGACATTTTATAAGCTATCTGAACTTAAATGGGAATAAAATATTTTAAAAGTAAGTTAAAATTATCTTATAATGGTTTATATTGTATGTTTTTGTACAATGATGTGCAACTTTTAGAAAGAAATCTGTTAAAAATGGATTTGATTTTTAACTGTATTAAAATTTAGTTGCAATTTTTAAAAAAAAATGATACTAATGTTTTTAAAAATTTTATGATTTCACTAAATGAGGATATTATATAAATCTTGTATAATAGCCATACCAGTGTATGCAACGTATATTTAACCTTTTTAGAGGTTTTTGAAAAAGGTGTAAATGTTAAGAATTTTTCTTGCTTTTTTTTTTAGAGCACTACAGTACAGTATATACAATTATACATGTATATGTAGATCCTTTAAGAAATTAGTAAATTAGCAAATGACAACTGTTACAATTGTTTTTAATGGTTTTAATTTGGAAGAACTAGAAATGATAGGCTTGTGTTTCACTTTGGCCAGCTATTTACCCATGCAACCAGTGCAGACCAAAATAAGCCAGCACATCCGAACCAACTGATCATGGTCTGCACTGTTCACTATTCCAATCAGTACTTACTAAAAATGATTAATTGTTTTGTTCAGATTGAAAGATGGACAAGTCCATTTAAGCTATTGAGTGTGGTCAGGTTTAACGATTAACACTTATTTTACTTTAATTTTTGCTGTCCATACATTACCGTAATGACAATAGAAAATCAAATGTTTTATTACATTATCTGCATTTATCAATTACATTGTCTGGTGTTAAGAATTATAGAAACATGTTTAGATAACATTAATATACATTAATCTATATTACAATGAATTAGCACAATATATTAATTAACAAAATAAAAATCCACAACTATATGCTTGATTGAGATTAAGTACTTTTAGGATTAAGATGTGTATTCAGTATGATAGAGCAATACATGATTTTATGTAGAGGGTATTTTTTGTTTTATTTAGAGTAGATATGAAATATAAATGTTTATCTCATTTAGAGGTCTACTGTGAAAACGAATATTTTCTAAAAGTGATTATTGCAAGTGAAATAAAAATTTGCAATAAACTTTTTTTTTTAAAATATTTTTAAGGTGAGCAGCATAGGTTTATTAGGGATTTCTTGTTTAGGTAGACTAGACGTCTTGTAATAAAAACAAACAAAAAATCACTGTTATACAGATACAGATCAAGACAGTCCTGTCCATTGTCTTCTTAGGCAATAAATAATAAAATAGATGCAGAAAAATTAATAGTATCATAAGATAATTATAATATTAACACAGGCTATAACGATATTGTTACTGCAGAAATATGGACAATAAAACATCTGTTTTCTATATGGGCCCATCTGTTTTATCCAGACTTCCGTTATTTCCAAATAACAGAATTGATGTTTAATATATGTTATATTTGTTGTCTTTTGTCCTCTGACATTGATATTAAACAATACACATTGTTAATAAACAATATACATTGTTATAAAATACCTTACTTAGGAGTCCACAACTTTATTCATAGGCCAAAAAGAAGCACAAATTATTTATAGTTTCCTTGCAAAATGTTTTTGCAGTACTGATATTTTGCAGTATTTTTACTTTTGTGTAAACAAAAGACCATGATCTTTGATTATAAATTGTTTTGGCATATTATATTTATTTTGAGGCGGGCATGCACATTTGACTATAAATTTTTGTTTGCATATACAGTATTTGATTTTGGATTTTTTTGACATATATTTGGTTTTTGAAGAAACAGAGTAATTTATAATTATAATAATTGTTCAGTAAGATACAGTTTTTTTTTACTTCAAGTGTATTCACTATTGTGAAAAAATATCCTGATATGAAATGAGGCCTGATGTATATTTATAGCAGTGATCATATCAGTTTGGCTATAAATTTTTCTACAAATTTACCAGTAAAGCAAATATTTAATCAAATAAGGCCAAACTTATAAATAACCAAATTTTAATCCTATTTCATATACATGTATAGAATGATACCAATCATGATAAAAAAACATTGTGCAGATTTTTGTCTTCTTAAATTACAGAAATATGATAATAGTCACCTAGACAGGTTAAATATCCTACTATAATGAAAATGATGCACAAATTATGCCCTTAGGGCGGAGCTTCATGTCAAATGTCCAATCATTATTCAGGTCACCAGACAATGACCTTGAAACATTACAATGATATCATTGAACCAATCATGATAAAGATCTGATCGTAATTATCTCAGTTGCATATTTTTTTCCACTTGATTATTTTTCATTTAAAATAAATATGTGCCTTATTCTTACTAAGGTGGATTTGATCACACATAAAAGATCATTATAATACTAGATTATTATGAAGATTTTGCAGTAAAGTTTGGAATAGATAAAATATTGTTTGGATGTAATTTGAAGAGGAATAGATCAATAAAGACTGATTCTTTCTGAAATAGTTTTTTTTAACATCAAGAATATTATATTTATTTTGTATGAAGTGTCTGGAATGTAAGGAATGTTAGGTAGTGATGCTTGACTTTTATTGAAAGGATTCTATTGTTTAAGACCTGTTAAATATTTTAATATTTGTATTTTGTGGGTAAAAATTTACAATTTCATTAAAAAAAAAAGAAAATAAATATTATTTTTTACAGAGATTAAAAAATATTTGGTATTTTATTGAAATAAGGGCGTATTAATATTATTGCAATAACAAATTTGGAAAGTGAATCAAAATCTGGTTTGATAGAAGCTTAAACATAGTCTTGGGTTTTAGGCTAGGAGATGCTATTTCATTATTTGATTAAACTGTGTTTTCTGTCTATAATATTTAGATACAAATGGAATAAGTTTATGTATTTTCAGTTGTGTAACTAAATTTTTTAAATATATTTTCAGTTGTGTAACTGATGGTACAAGTACAGCTGGTTATGCCGCAGATAGTCAGAGTACCGTAACTGGCGATTCAATCTCCATTGGAAATCCAAAATCTGATTTCACACAGCTTGATACTGAAGCCTGGATCCAGAGTCTCGCTGTGCGTGCTGCCAAACGTGAAGAGGCCGAGAGCAAAGATAAGTCTTCAACGTTATCGAAATTGACAAGACAGAACATTTTAGCTCTCGATCTTATGCTAGCAGAGGGACAACCTAAAGCCCTCGGAGATGAAGAATGTTCAGTGTATTCAGTAGATCAGGAAGGATTTTATACATCTTTTCATAACGATAGTGGCTTGAAAAAGAGCACAAATACATTAGTTGATGAGGAGGATATAGACTTTTCCCCTACAAAAGATAGCGCAAGTGTTTGTAGTGCAGAAAGTGTTATTCACAGGCCTTTTGGTGATAGTGACAAATTTGCTGGATTAAGAAAAAATTCACATACAAAAGTGCTAAGCAAAGTTATCCCACCCACCCCACCAGTGAGAACTTCATCACAAAAATCAACAGGGGAGGTAACTTTTCTCAAAACTCCAGAGTTACATTCCTTCCCATCCCAGGATTCCACAGTGTCAGAATCTGATGCAGAGGCAGTGTTTACTCGTGTGCATGATAAAACTAATCTATCCTCAACAGGATTCCCGTCATTAGTTGCTATGTCTACAAGTGATGACGAAAGTTCACCTGAATCAAGGAATATAAGAAACAAAGAGAAAGGACTCAGTGAGACTGTAAGTGAACTAGGACTGTCAGATTTAAGGGAAACTTCCGGATTTTCGTACCTTTCATTCCAGACTGGAAGTTCTCTTGATTCGTCAAAAAGTGACAATAGTTTCTCATCCTTGAAACATTCTAAATCAGCGTTAGAATGTACTGATCAAGGGTATGATTCTCTGACTTTACCTCGTAGTAAGGAAACAGGATCAACAAAAAGTGCAGTCGGTTATCAATCATGGCCAAGATCCCATAAGAACAATCCTACTTCTGGAATTTTGAAAACTCCTGAAAAACAATTTGATGGAGTGAGACCTCAGAAAACTCTTAATTTTGCTCCTATTGTGAATTTATTCAGAGAAGGTGCAGAAAATTCTGTTCAGATGCCATTGCCCTCCCCTACAAGCTCTTCATCTAGTGAAACTAATAATGGACCATTTATGAGCTCATTTCAAACTCCTCCATCACAAGATCAAAGTTACATTCTTTCTATACCAATAGAAAACTCAAAGAATAGTCAGGGAAATAATAATCAGTCAGGTATTCCATCAAAATACCAACCAGTTATAACTGTGACACCAAGGTCAAGGTCAAAATCTGGTGATAGGTTAAGTCAGGGGTCAGATAGAAGAAGCCAGAGGTCAGAGAGTAATAAAACACCAGAATCCGGTGGAAGACAAATGATATACGCATCTACCGCCAATAAACCAAGTGCTCAGTCTACTCCACAAGTGCCGTCAAGTCAAGTGACGGAGAAACAAACGTCACCAAGTTTATATGCTGTAAGCCCAGTAATGGCACCGAAAGACCCAAGTCGTCAGAATTCAGTAACATCAACAGATTCTAGTAATTCTGGTTACATGGATATGCAATCTTTGAAATCTGCTGAAAGTTTGAACTCTTTAGCATCATCTGAAGGTTTGAATGGTAATTCCACGTACATGTCAATGTCAAGCCCGTGTAGCTCACCAAACCTTTCTAACATGGACTTTTCAATTAGTAGTACACCTTCGGGATCAATGGATTCTTTATTGGATATGAGAAAAACACCGACTAATGAATTAGAAAATGACACTTATCAGGTGAATACAAGTTTACATATGAATCAATACAGTAAAAATGCCAGGTCTAGAAAATCTAACGGGGCAACAGAAACTGTTTCTATTGTTACACAGCATAACAGTCGAGGTTATAATAGTGCTCAACAAGTTGATGCTAAACAATCATTCGGAAGTTTCCGAACACCTGATACCTCTTACTCATCATCTAAACAAACGCCAGGCAGACGGTCACTTGACTCAACAGGAAATGACCTAACAAATGTAACTCAGATGTCTTTTGACTCTACAATGGGGTCAAGGTCAACGCCAGTTACACGAAATTCTGGTACCCCGACATCCAGAGAATCACCAACAATGTCAGGTCAACGTCAGCAAGGTCGAAGGAGTCGGGCAGATACTCGTAAAGAGCCATCATACAGAAATCTGAATGCTACTAATAGACGATCGTTGCCAAGTGATGTGTCAACATCTGTTCAAATAAGAAATGTGCCATTAAATGACACCCGTCAAGGTGTGAGTTCTAATCAAAGCCATTATAAATCACAAAATTCCATGTCTTCCTCAAACTCATGTCCATTAGGATTTAATTCTGTATTGTTATCAAATTCAAGTTACAACTCAGGGCAAAACAGTGCAAACAGTCAGTATATGAAAAGACAATCGCGTACCTCTCCGACCAGTATCAGCGATAATGGACATGTTTCATCTCGGTCAGATTCGTATCGTGTAGCTTTGAAAAATAAAAGCAGTGAAGGTTCAGGTAGAAACGCTATGCATCAAAGTAAAAGTATGCCAATGCTACCGCCTTCAAGAAAAAGTGGACCATTCCGTGTTGCTATGGATATGAGTCCAAACAGAGCGTATAGTAATGGTGTTGACGATGATGTCATGAGTAGAGCTGATTCATATAGAATCGCGGTGAGAAATACTAACGGTTTAGGTACGGAAATATTGAATCGCAATACGTCATATAGAGTTGCTGTCAATGACGAAATTCCGTCAATGTTAAATTCAAAACTGGATGCATTAGGTATGGACGATAATAAGCTTATGTCTGGAAGAGATGTTAGGAGAATGGGTATAACTGATGTAGATCAGGTGAAAGATATAAACCCTAAACCGGTGATCAGAGAAAGTAAATCTGCGGTTCAGCTCAGAAATAGGGATTCCAAACCTGCCCCTCAAGCAATGGGGCCAAACTCTCATTCACTTAGCAGACCGTCATCTCAGCCGCAGCAGACGAAAAATGATGGTCGAATCCGACAGTGCTTTAAGCAAGACATTGATCCAATTCAAGTGGTAGCAACTGTTGACATTAATGGTGAATCGAAAAAATCAGGGAAGAATAACCCAAACCGATCCTCTACTTACATTCAGTTTGATCCTATATTTGAAGACACTGAAGATTTCTCAAATGCGGCAGATTTGGACATGACTTCTTTAGATTATTCTAAAAATATCTCAAACATTTCAAAATCAAAATTTGGTCTCATTAATGGTACAGTGAAAGATGCAAATGCTAATACTGTCAAAATGAAAAAATCTAAGTCGGGCAAAGATATTGAAATTGAAGACAATTGGAGGTTTTCACAAGTATGATTCTTTATCATGGAAAAACAAATTAACAAGTTTTCAATTTAGAAAAGAAAAGCAATGTGTACATGTATAATATGATTTTTTATGGCATCTTTTTTGTTGAGTTTAAGTTTCCCGTGTTAGTGTTTTGTTTGTGGATTATAACTGTTTTGAGTTTTGTTTTATTGTTTTTTCATAACATGAAACTTGAAGGTGAACAAAATTTTGTCATTGTTTAAAATATAATTAAATGATAGTATCTTTATTAAAAAATAAAAAAATGTAAAGAAAATTGATAGATTGAATGATGAGTCTGAAGTGTTGATTAAAATATCAGCTGATAGACACATTCATCTAATGATTTGGTTTTTAAATTTAAATAAAGCTATAACAGCCCTGGCCAGTTAAACTTAATTTTGGTCTATAGTGTTTCTCTAAAATTTTAAGTCTTTTTAATTTTGACTAAGTGGAAAAGGATTCATTTTACCTTACAAATGATAAAAATAATTGTAAATACCCAATTATGAAATGCTTTTTCTTACTTTATTGACCTTTTCCAAGTTTGGGTGGGGATAGGTTTGGGATATAATTATACCACATATATTAGTTTTTCTTCAATTTAGAGGGTTATTCCAAAAATCTCAGAAACTCCACAGAAAATGTATGTTGTATAAAAATTATGCAAAATAATTAAGATATGAATGTTAAAATACAGACCTTGTTCGTAATTCATCATATAGTTGGTTATTTCGATTTAGAGAATTAAATATTTCCGATCAGTCTTAAAATAAGTATTTGAAAAATAAATGTAGTTCTTCTGTTGAATAAGAGGATAAGTGTTTTGTTATATGTGATGGGCATGCAAGTAATACTTATTTACAATATCAATCATTTTCTAAAGCAATATTCATTTTTTACTTGACTGTTTCCGAGAAACAGTCGAGCTATTACGATCGCTGTGGTGTTGGCGTCGTCTGCTTTGTTGTTGGCATTGTTGTCATGCGAAAACTTTAATGTAGGCCAATACTCAAACAATTTTAAAGGTATCAATATGAAACTTGGAATACTTGCTAGTTATGACAATAGGCAGTTGTAAGACAAGGGGCATAACTCTGAAAGGTATATTTTAGAGTTATGCCCCTTTTTAACTTGGAATTTTTGTCAAAAGTGGCTATTTTAACAGACAAGCATTAACACCCCATGCAGTGCTCTTGTTCATGTTAACAATTTAGTTGTCAAGTTCATATTATTTGCAATTAATAACATTTTGTTTTAAAACATATATATTGCCATAGATGTGATTTTTGAGAACAGTTTTACAATGATTTTAAACTGTTTATACTAAGACTCTATCTGTCTCTAAAAATCATATATTTTATTGAAATATTTCATAATCTATATTGTTTATATGTTTTTGTATAAAGTAATGTTGACATATTTGAATGTTGTTTGTATATGTGGTTGAATCTGTGTATACATATTTTACATAGTTTATGATACATGTGTTGATGACATTTTCTATGTGTAAATAAATATTGCCCATATGTGTTAAGAATTATTATGTGCAAAAAAAGTGCTAGAATGAAATTTATATCACATTTTATAAAAATAAATTTTTAAAATAAACAATGATTTCAGATAATTTTTTAGCTTTAATTTAAATTTTGATATTTTATGTTACAGGCTGTGAATTTTGTTTTACGGTAATTTATATCAAACTCACAAACAATGCCTTTTCAGAAGTGAACATGTTCAATTTCTTGCCCTGCTAAAGATGTTTAATTGACTTGTCTAGGCTGGCCCCATCGTCGGAACCCACAGTACACATTCTATACACCACACATTCAATATTTACTGATACTGGTACACAGTAAATTGCCTTGGTAAATACTGGGGACGGTCCAGCCTTGAATTAAGGACAAATGTCCGCTTGAATGGATTTCATTGTGAGAAAATAAATTAAACTAAACAGCTTGTCAAACTGCACTGACATGCAGGTTTTAAACTTGTAGCATAGGATTTGTTTACAAGATCATTTTGCTGTCAAAATGTTATCTTTAAATCATTTTGATTAACGACACACTTTAAAATGAGATAGCTCTTGATATGTCTGAAAGTTACTGAAAAGTTGGTTAACAAATAAAGTATTCAGTCCTTTACTGGCTTATAGAGAAGACTGGGCTTGCCTAACTGTGCTGCTTCAAAGCATATTTTAATAAGTTAATAGCTTCCAACACAATCAAATGACAATAAATTAGTATAAACTAAACTGTGTTGGCTGTTTAAATAAAGTCATTATTATTATTGTTATTGATCGCAAGTGATAAAACACGTTTTTTCGATTCACTGAAATAATCTTTCCCTATTATTCTACCAATGACTGAAGTAATTAAACCAAAATAGAATGAATATAACTATTCAATCAGTATAGAGCCTGTCCAACCTTCACATTCTTTAACCCTAACCCTGTTAGAACCGAAAGTTGTTACTCTTTGCTGCCTAGTCTGCTGTCTGACTTGGCTCTATACTGTTGGAAGAATAACTTATCCTCTTAACATCCCTAAAATTGATAATGGACATTTCCAAAAATGCAAGCTGGACAAGTCCATTTAAGAAATTCAGCAGGTTATTACGGTTAAGACTGTTGAATGACCAGCTATAAAATTTCATGATTATATTCCCAAAATTGGTCAGTTCCAAAAATGAACGCTCTAAAAGTTCAATCAAGAAATTCAGCATCATAAGGTATACCTTAGCTCCCACAAACAAGGTTTCCTCAATTTTTATTAAGATAAAGATATTGCAAGTGGACAAAATAAAGAATTTGTTTAAGTTCTTGGTTGTAAAATAATAATGAATAATGATGGCATAATAAAAAATATATTAACATCTTTGTTATAATTGTAATTTTTTTGCAACCAATGAAATATTTTCCGTGGAGAAACTTAGAGCCTTTTTTGTTATGTTGATGTCATTGTTAGCTCACCTGTCACAAAGTGACAGGGTGAGCTTTTGTGATCGCTTTTCGTCCGGCGTTCGTCCGTCGTCCAGCCATCCGTCTGTCCGTCGTCCGTCCGTAAACTTTTACTTTAAATGACATCTCCTCATAAACCACTAAGCCAATTTCATCCAAACTTCACAGGAATGTTCCTTTGGTGGTCACCTTTAAAAATTGTTCAAAGAATTTAATTCCATGCAGAACTGTGGTTGCCATGGCAACCGAAAGAAAAAACTTTAAATATCTTCTTTTAAAAAACCCAAAGAGCTAGAGCTTAGATATTTGGCATGAAGCATCTTCTAGTGAGTGTCTACCAAGTTTGTTCAAATAAAAGCCCTGGGATCAAAATTGGCCCCGCCCCAGGGGGTCATTGATTTTCCTTATATGTGTATAGCAAAAACTTCAAAAATCTTCTATGAAAAAACCCAAATAGCTAGAGTTTAGACATTAAGCATGAAACATCTTCTAGTAAGTGTCTACAAAGTTTGTTCAAATAAAAGCCCTGGGGTCAAAATTGGCCCCGCCCCGGGTGTCATTGATTTTAGATATATTTGTATAGTAAAAACATAAAATATCTTCTTTTAAAAAACCCAATGAGCTAGAGCTTAGATATTTAGCATGAAACATCTTCTTATGGGTGTCTACCAAGTTTGTTCAAATAAAAGCAATTGGGTTAAAATTGGCCCTGCCGGAGGGGGGGGGGGCAGGTCATTGTTTTTCATTATATGTGTGTAGTAAAAACTAAACAACATGAAACATCTTCTAATGGGTGTCTTCCAAGTTTGTTCAAATAAAAGCCCTAGGGTTTAAGCTGGCCCTGCTGCGGGGGCCACTATACAGGTGAGCGACCTCAGGGCCATCATGGCCCTCTTGTTTTTATTTTGTGTTCAGAACTTTAGGATAGAACATATCATTTTGTCATGCATATCTTTTCCTTTTAACATTCCATAGTATTTTAAATAGCTTTTGTTTTAGATTTAGACTTGTGTGTACAAGGCATAAGTGTCTGCAGTAGTATTGTTAAAGATGATTTTTTTGGCCATTTTTTTGAAATTTGGTGATTTAAAAAAAAAAATTACATTTTTTTATGCAATTATATTAAATAAAGAGTTAATCATTCTTTTGGACATTCTTTGAGACATTAGGCCTGACTCTTATAATTGAAATGAACTGTGCTTATAAAACTTTGAATGTTTTGAAATTTTTTTTTTTTTTTATTTTTTTCACATTTAATTAAAGTACTAGGAGTTTCTGAAAATCTTGAACATAATGTTTATTAATTTTGAACCAAAGTTTGTTTTTTGGTTAAGTGTACAAAATTACAGTGCAAAATTTGGGACAAAGTTGCGATGTTTAAGTTTCCCTTTAACATTTTCGTTCTCCCTTTAATAATAATTATGGTTATTTTGTGGTTTTCTTGGTTGTTATACCCTCGGGTGACCATGATTCAACACCAAAGGTTCCTTCACAGTGAAAGTTTTATGCACTCTCTATATTTTACTTATTCACACTTCTTTGTTGACGGACATTTGTCAATACATAAAATTTACAAAGACGTGACAAAAAAAATCTTACCAGTAGTTTGTTCTTCCGTAAAGTTTTTTGGTTGAAATGTGAAAAAAAAAAAGATTTTATTCTTGCATCTCACAAGGCTTCTTAATTAAGGACATAAAGTTTGTGCAGAATCAAGGACAGGGTCGAATCTAGGACAATCAATGATGAATTTTAGTAATACAAATTGAGATACAGACTTTGAAATGTAAAATTGATATGAAATGTCAGTTGACTACAATAGGAGTTGACTAAAATCAATCAAAGTAACAGTTTTTATTTGGTTACGGAAAGACGGTCTTTTGTTTTAGTTAAAACAATTAGAATTGTACAGATTTTTGTTTTTTGAGTTGTTATAATTGTGTACAGGTTTTTGTTTCATAAGTGATTAATGACTTACAAGTTTTTATCATAGCATTGTTGAATTTTGTAAATTTATCATCATTTATTTATAAAAAAAATCATGAATCAAAAAACAACATCTTCGCATTGATCATCTAATTTACAGGTGATTTTGCTCATACCATTAAAACCTTTACCATCCCATTATATATTCCGTTTCCACCCCCATACCTTCATGTTTATAAACATTTTAAAATTCATGAATTTTGTATTTGTTGCAATCTTTCATCAACTGTATCCAAAGACACATTTTAAAATGAAAAAACAAAATAAATATTTTAGTACAACTTTGTGTTATCTTTGTTCTTTAAATCTTTTTGAAACCAATACCTAGGCTTATATTCATTAATGTTTTGTCTCGAATATTGACTTAAGACTTAAACCCTTACCTCCCTAAATATCATAAATGGACTTGTCCAGCTTTAAATCTGGGCTAAAGCATTCATCAGATTTGGGGGAAATTTTAAAAAAGCTCCTTAATGAACAGTATATGACTATGAGCAGACGGCACCGATTTTGTACCTGCCAGCAGGCTAAGACTTATAATGCTAAGAGTTTGTCAGCCATATTTCCTTCTGAATATTTTTTACTCTTAATGACATTTTGCCAAGGAAGCAAAAACATCTTTTACACATCTAAATGAGAGCATAGGCCTTATGGTTATGAACTGTTAAGGTGTCTGCCTCTCAACCCAGGGATCATGGGTTTGTTCCCTACTGGGTCCTCAACCATGTGGCATGGTGGCAACAAGTACTGGTTTGTTCCTGGAAGTGGACTCGGAAGGTCTGAGTGGTTGGATTAAGGTTCAACTTTTCATAACAATCAAACTAAAGTACATGTAGATTTATTAAAACCAAGTCTGAATAATGGACTTGCCCTGCCATGAACCAGGAACTGTGCTATTGATAATTGATCGGATTTCTGTATGATAAAGCTTAAACTAGTCTGTCAACTGTATAATGAGGTGTTAAAGGAGGTTTATAAGCCTAAAAACATGAAATTTTAATTTTTCACATAGATAAACATGAGCACTTAAAACATAAATATTAATAAAATATAACCAAAAATTTTGAAGAAATACATTGAAAATCATATGTTTGTGCTATTCTCAGTCCGATTTGAAAACGCTTTTCAATTTTGGGTCATTTTTCACTATTATAATAATTATTCTGGAAAAACGGAGCAAGGTAATGATCTGAAATTTTGTACATAAGTTATTAGTATAGATCTACATCAAATGGAGTAATAATTAATCTCAAAAAATTATTTCCAGTCCCGTCATGTCAAAAAACCTCAGTTGAGTCCCTTTAAGGACTACATGGTGATGTGAAGAACTGCAAAATAAATTTGCAGAAAAATAGAGACTGTATGATAATTGAAGTGCAGATTAGTAGTACGAGTTGTAAAGATCAACTTTCAACATCAAAGTTTGTTTTGTTCCTTTGATTGGGTTATACATCACACTGACTGTGAGTATAGGTCATATGGCAACATTCCAGCTTTACTGGTGGAGGAAGACCTCACATGCCCTTCCATGCATTATTTCAGCCACAAACGGGCATCTGAGTACTAGAACCACCAAAGTTCTGAAGCTAGCTTTATAGCTGCCTCGCATGCAAAAATCCCAAGTCCCGGTCAGGATTGGAACCTACAGCGGTGAGGGATTCCAACACAACATTATGGTACAACATCAAAGTATCTTTATTCAACTACTAGGTACAAAAGCTCTGTTTGTCAGAGCATTTTATTCCAAAGTATGTGCTGCAAGATGTACTCTGTTGAAATGTGATCAAGCTCAATTGAAAAATAAATGGAAACAACCAGAACAAGCTATTGATTGGACAAGGATTTTGACCTTTGACTTACTGATCCCAAAAGCAAAAGTGTGACCTTGACTTATGGCCTTAAAATCAACAGAGGTCATCAACCTTCTATTGGCAATGTCTACCAAGCTTCATAAACCAAGTCTTATATCTCCACAAGTAAATGAGAGGACAAGGACTTTGTTTCTAGGTGACCTTATTATTCCACCTAATTACCTCCTCAATATGAACTAAAGCTATCACTGAAGGTGATTAATACCCACACCAGCAAAGTGGTCTGATCTCAACCTATAGTAAATGAAGTATCAACTGTGTACAAAGAATTATTTCAATAAATTGCAATCCCAACCAAGATCTTCATATAAACTTGCTATACACGAAGTTTGATTACAATATCTTATTCCTAACTCTAGTTATTGTCCAGAAACCATTTTTCTATTTTAAGTGATAGTGACCTTGACCAAAGGGGCCAACCGAGGTTTCCACACATTAGGTTGCTATATACCAAGTTTGATTACAAAACCTCATTCCAAACTAGAGTTATCGTCAGAAACCATGATGGGGACAGACTTACCAACTGACAAGTTGACTGCTACATACCCCCCCTTAACTTTGTTTGTGGGGGTATAATTATCTACTGGCCATGGGCAATGTCCTTACCCAGTTTCACAAACCAGTTATTGAGCAGACGAGAATTTTACAAGTGTCAGTGTGTACTTGACCTTTGACTTCAAAATCAATACTATTATTTTATAGGGGTCATCTTCTAGCAATGAACATCCATTATTCTAAGTATGAAGACAGCACACCTAACATAGTAATTCTCAAGTTATTGATAGGTCATCTATGTGGCTTAGGGACATAATTGAGGACAAGTGCCGTACCATAATACAACTGGTTACCTTAAGGCATATTAAAACTGGAACATACCAAACAAATGAAGTTGACAATTGGTAGAGGTATTCAAGACTAATTGTACTCAAAAGATCTTTCTTTGATCAACATACAAATTAATCAATCAAACATTGCTATACATTGTAATTCAATAAACAAAGGCAGACATTCAGACAGTCATAATATTATTTTATTTTTCATACAAAATATCAATAAATTATCAGAAACATATTTAAAACATATAATTTCATAAAACAAGATTAGATCAATGTTTAATGAATATTTATCATTGTAAAATGGACATAAAAATACGTTGCTTACAAAGATGCTCCGAGTCTCTCTAAAATAAGGCCTGACAAAATGTTGACTTGCCTTATGCCATTCCAATGTTGAAGCTATGTATATTGAATCAGTAAGATTTCTTTATGTTCTAGAAAAAATGTCATTAAAGGGTATAAAGCTATGTCTTATAAGATATTTTTAAAAGAATTACTAACAATGAAATTACATTGTTCCCATAATTCTTGAAAGAGTTGTAACATAGAATGTCTGTAATATTTAATACATATGAATATTGTACATAAAGATAATATAATGTTCTGGAACAAAATAATAGCCGAGTTACGACAAAACCAACATAATGGGTTTGCGACCAGAATGGATCCAGACCAGACTGTGCATCCGCGCAGTCTGATCAGAATCCATGCTGTTCATTTACAAATCCTATAACAAGTAGAGAAACTGATAGCGAACAGCATGGATCCTGATCAGACTGCGCAAGCTGGTCTGGATCCATGCTGGTCGCAAACCCACTATCATTGTTTTGTCGTGACACAGCTCAATTATTAATGATCAATAATATTTATTATTGCAATTTTAAGAAGGTTTTATGTTTAACAATGATTTCGAGAATGCGCCATTTGCTTTTAAGGTTATTTACTACTAGATTTTACTACCAGATTTCTTTCTAACAAGCATTTTGGAAGCATTCAAATAATAATTTTTGCAGGAGATATTTAGTTTTATACACTTTAAATTTAACTAATAAATAAATGTATATAAATTATGTAATCAGTAAGAAGGTAACAAATAATTGCATTTTTATATAAGCCCATAATTTGCACTAACATTGCACATGTTAAATATTGCTGAGTCAGCAAGAAATGAAAGCAGGATGTGAAAAAAGCTGTTTTAACAAGTGATGATGACAAGTTAAAGTGACATTACGTCCGTCCATGTGTAAATGGTGAGTGCACAGGTAAGTCAAAACAACTTTACATTTTGCCATAATTGTCTTTACTTTGCAAAAATAATCAATAAATTATGTGACCCAAGGACATTTCTATTAATAGCATTCAGAATGTATCAGTAACATTTATTTATTTTTTAAATTCTGGGGCAGCCTTTATAATTTAGGAAGTTTTTATATTTTATCCTCAATATTTTTCATTATTAATTATTGTAAAATGAATGTATTATGTAAAGTTTAAATAAACAGGCCTTAAACGTGATTCCAAAATTCTTTTTAAAGAAATCAAGTATTGGTCAATAACCATTTTAATAGTTAATCTCTTAAAATTCATTACTTTTTCAACTTGACAATGAAAAAATAAGCATAATGTCACTTTATAATATGTACTGTCACACTAAACTTTTTATTTCAGTACCTTTAATAATAAATATGGTATTTAACAAAAATTTCACTGACACTTGGAACATGCAGTTTTAAATGAGTATATATTGAGATGACATAATGATTATGATGTTACTGATCAGCTTTGAGTTTACATTTTGGAACAAGAAATAATTTACTGTAATATCATCCAATATTACTGGCATGAAAAATATCAAATTTCTCAATTTTTAGCACATAAAATTAAATACAATACTGTAAATAGCCATTTTATACTGTATTCTTAGACCAAACAGTTCTGTACATTGGTAACAATTTTCCAATCAGGTTACAAAATTGAGTGTTTTACTGCAATCTAACACAAAATAGCACATATAAAATGTATATCTTATCCAAATATGGTCACCAAAAATTAGAAGATGTTTGTACAAAAAAACAACAACAACATACACTTCAGGTATATACCACTCCCTCAGTATTTCCTTAACAAATTATTAACAAAATATGATATTAACATCCTTATGTAATCTGTATTTAGCATTAATCACAATTTTGTAACACAGTAGATAAGTTAGGTAGCATTAATAACAAACTTGTCAACAAAATATACAAGTTAAAATTGGATCATTCAAGGATTTCATATACAATGAAATACACAATGAGATATATACACAATCAAGTGTTTAAATCTCTGAAAAGTATAACAAAATCTTTATATAAAATCCAGTATTGAGCATATTATGACCTATGGCCAGTTCGACTGATAAAATGGAAGAGCTACCGGAATAAGAAGCGCTCTTCAGGACCGTTCGCATTCTATTTTTAGAAGCTCTTCTATCTATTCCAACCGATAAGACAGGATACTTGGAAGAGGTAAAAGTCATGTGATTAAACTGCATGGCTGACAAGGAATTGTGAGTAAAATATAACGTTTTAATACTGTGGATGTTTTTATACATTTTTACTTTCGTAGGTTAAGAAAATATATTATTTTATCACATATCATACAAAAAGTCATTTGTCATTAAATTGAGATTGTCTGACTGGAGGCAATTTTAAATTGACTGCCAAACATTCTATTGGCCTCTCTTTTCAGAGGTCTTCTAACTTGCCAATTCTCTTCCTAGAAGAGCTCAATCAAACCAGCCATTAATGCGACTGACCCTTTTGTTTTCTTATTTAATCTACGATTTAATTATATTAACTGACTGAAACACAAGCTGTAATGAGAAATTTGAAGCATTGTATGTAACAATCTACAAGTAAACAGAACGGTATCTTTATAATGGAAAAATTCAGATTAGGCAATTAGTGTTCATAAAACAAAAATGCACCTTTGTTCTAAATCTGGTTATAAATTATAATGCAATTCTTGTGAATTTTTCTGAATTTGAAAAATTTTATCTTGAAGGTCAATTTCAAATCCAGGTCAAGGTAATATATCATACATCATAATGAGGTGCTCTTTAAGAGGTATGTTGTATCTCAACATGAAGGTTCTAGTTTACAAAAATGAAAATGTTAAGCATAGGTTATAGTTGTCTACAGAGAGACAGACCTAACAAACTAGACAAAAAAAATATGGCCTCATATCCATCGACATATAAATATTTTTTCATTTATAATACATGTAAATATGAACATTTTTGCCTGATAATTCTGGAGTTTGTACAATGGTCCCATACAACACATGATGATTATGAATATTATAATAATTACTGAGATTATTACTAAGGTTGTCTCCCTTTATGCTAACTGTGCAACTGTGTTTATCTTTTAAGTTTGTACATTTCGGATACATGAATCATTCCTAACCTTACTTAAAATAACAATTGAATACTTTTGTTTTTTCTATTTTTTATGAGCATTAAATAGCATGGAGAATATGAAGACAGTCACATAGTTGACCAGTACTAGCTTTACACCCCTTAATATTAAAGAAAACTTTCTTCGATCTTTACCTGGGAAAGTCCTTAAGTAAAACTATAGTCCTAACAATATCCTACTTACAGGACTTATTTCAGCAAGGCAGGTATTTAATCATCATGTAGACCATCATTCTGCTGACAATTGAAATCAGAAATGAAAAATGCTGTGTTTTGTCTAAACATTACCCGGTAGATTCATTTTAATCAATTTTCTCACATTTAGTTAAATATCTTTTTCTTATGTGTGTTTTGCTTAGCACCATCCATGGTTTTGTTTTAATCCCTTAACTTGAATACATTTTCTCATATACAATGCACTGGTAATCAGGCTTGTAATATCTTCCTATGTGTAAGCTCGCATTTTGACAGTTTGTGACTTGCTTTCTGTGACTTGTACTTGGTCTATTGTATCATCCATTTTATGGAATTGTGCTGCCCTATACGGATTTGGTATTTTATAGAAATCTGACTTCACTAATTACTGATAAAATTCCTATGACTTGTAAAATCTCTGTCATTCTAAAACATGGTCATATTCATTGGAGTAAATTCCATGCTTTATGACATATTATAGGAATCTTACACTGGCTGCCGGTACAGACTGTAACATCTAGCTCAAGAGCAACTGTTTACGGCAGTAAAGAGGCTCTGCAAGAATTACCAATATTAACTTTATAAAGTTAATGTAATTTCAACATGAAAAATAATATGTCAAATAAAACATTGACCAATAATTAAACTGTTCACCATTAGATGGTATCCAGGGCAAAAAACGGGACAAAATCACAGTGATTGTCTTGCCCTTAGATAAATTAAAAATAATACAGAAAACAAGTATAAATAATTCCAGTCGGATCCTTTTTTTGACAAGTTTGAACAGTTTATTTTCACTCTTTCCACTTTCTTCAGTCCTTTCACTGTTTGCTGACTCCATCAAACCTTTTCTTCCAGTAAATACACATTCTATTTCAATTTTCCCTTCTTTTTATAAAACAATACTGTTAAATATCATTGCCCTATCTCTTAAAGAAGCGTCTTTAAATGTCTGCTGTTTTAAATAATAACTCCACATTTCCAAGCTTTACTATGTCAACCAACAAACAACACCCACATCGCCATTATAACATTCAATGCCAGGAGTACTGTTCCAAACAACACAGTAAGTGAGTAGATGGCCCCGCGCACTTCTTTGTCAGGTATTGTTGAACGTAGCATTAGCTCTATAAATCCTTGGCAGATGAATTGTCCATCTAGCGCATAGCATGGTACAACATTTAGTATGACAAGAGCACCAGACAGAGAAATGAGGTATCTAAAAATAAGTTAAGGCTAACTATGTCTGCAATACATTAATTGATGTTCCATTTTTAAAACAAGAATATCTGTAAAACGAACAGATGATCTCTGATCTTGTTTTAACCTAAGTTTACTATGAGCAAAAATAGGAAAAACTATTTTTAGCATAAGTGACCATCACCTAATCAACCTGAAACATTACCTGGCTGTACATATCTAAGAATAAAGGTGCTATTAGAAACAGTGTAACAAATTATCAAACAGATGGACCATCGGATGAAACAGCCAGGAACTCTTTGCTTCACCATAAAAATTAAACTTTTGTTTTATTTGTTTTACTTTTGCACCAACATAGTATAGGTCATATGATGACTTTCCAGCTTTTACTGGTGGAGGAAAAACCTCAGGTGCCCTTCCATACATATTTACAGGCACAAACTAGCACCTGTGTAGAACTAATTATGTTACGTAAGCTTTCTAACATGAAAGAATCCAAAGTGCTTATCGGGATCCAAACACACAGCAGTGAGGGGCAAGAGGTTTGAAGTCAACAACCATAACCATTCCACGCCCCATAAAAATGAAATTACCTGAAATCTCATTCTAATTTATAGGAAAGATTTTGACATACGTAAATACTTTCTTTTTTAGTTTGAATTCAAACAATGACCTACTTTGCCTACTTTTTACAAAAATGGCAATTCAAACACTCAACACAAAATCTTTTCTTTCTCCATCATTATCAATACAAAAATAAAATAATCCTTACACCTGCTGGAACAGAGAGTGAGGAGTCTTTGTCATTAGCATAGAATCAGGCCAGCCTGATTTGTACAGTCTTGACCAAGCTCTATATTGTTGGCTGACAAACTTCATACATTTTGTTTTTCATCTTGCTGTCCCAAAAAATTTAAAATTGACAGTTCCAAAAATGGAAGCTGGGCTAGGCCAGCAGGTTAGTTAATATTTTGCTTTGTTCAATTTTTCTGTTTACTATCTTATTCTATGTTATCATTTTGTTAGAACTTAGTCACTGCCACCAATACAAAACTATGTGTAACTTACCTTTTATTTAATCATCATATATAAGGAAAAGGATACTTGCAGAACGTTTCGAGTGCATATGGCAGGTTGACGGGTATAAATAGACTGCTTGGAATGTAATTACTCAATATCACTGTAATAAAATAAAGAATTGTTTTTAACTTAACAATAATTATTCCTGTTTTTAAACCCTTAACATAAATGTGTTAAAGATTTGTCCTGCTTTGAAGTTGGAACAGCCTATTGTTAAAGTGACATTATGCCCAACCAAGCTTATATAGTGAGTGAACAGGACTAGTGAAAATCAAAATAAGTTTACATTTTGTTATCATTTTTATAATTTTTCACATGAGGATCAATAAATCATGAGGTCTAAGAAAAAGTCTGTTAATGTCTATCGTAATTTGCCTGTATTGTTCAAATTTATGAAAATATTCGGGCAGTCTTTTTAAATTTTAGACAAATTTATATTTTATCCTAAACATTTTCCAAAATAAAGTGTTGGTCAATCACTATTATAATAGTCAATCTTTGTAGTCAATTTGTAGTCAATTCAGCTAAACTTGACGATGGAAACATGAGCATACTATCACTTTATCATGAAGGATTTCAGGATCAATATGCTAAAACCAGAATAAATTGCTAAAGCAAGCAACAGTACACAGTCTAGTCAGACTGTAAGGATGTACAGTTATATAAAAGTTACATTGGTAAACCATAATTGCTGATAACATTCAAAAGCTTTGAGACACTGGGTCCAATCAATTCCTCCCTCATTACAGCTTCAAAAGATTTTCATGAAAAGTTGCAAGTTAAGTGTTAAGACAGTACTTGTATAAATAGTAGCTAGGTATGTAGCTTCTTGACTTCAAGTGGTTAAAATATGCTAACAAACTCATACTTAACCCAAATCATATCTTTTAACAGAACAATATAAATGAAAAGTCAAAAATGCCAACTGAATCATTATACATGTATTTTCAACTTAAATAATTTAGAAGACAAAGACAACAAAGTTTAATTAATGTCATAAAGGGACATAACTCTTAAGTGCGTTCCTTACAATTAAGGACTTGCAAAATAAATAATTAAACGCGGAGACTTACCAGAATAATGCAGATCAAGTGGATGTCCGAGGAACAACAATGGTGGTTTATGCCCGTGTATGACTCGTAACAACTTGGTTTGGTTGTCCACAGACGGATAAACACAGGACATCTCCATGTTGGGAGAGTAACAGTCACTCTGAAACTTACACACTGGTCTGTCTGTAGTTGCTCTAGCTGGTAGACATGCATATATCTGTAGAAATAAGATTTTATTATTGATTGAATTTTTCTATCTATTCTTTGGTTTAAACCATATTTATTTTCAATAAATTGCTAACGTAATGTATCATACACAGTATACACAAACTAAAGCAAAACAACAATGCAAATTAATTAGTGTACTTTACAGGTTATCTATCAGAATTTAATTTCTATGAATATACATGTACTATGATTTTGAATGATAAGTTTCTACCCTGATGAAGTATAATAATCATATTAAGATAACATATAAGGGATAAATCTTACATTGTCTGGGTTTTTCTTTGTATGGTACATAAAACACAAGTGTGTGCTACTTGTCTCATTACAACAGTCAATATATGGCGAGTTAGAATCTATAATAGAAAAAAACAAAACATATTGTGCATTTTATTCCATAGAAGAAACAAATGAATATATTACAGTGCAGTTAAAAGTATAAAGCTCAATGACATACCAGGGTTTTTATTTTTATCTGAGGCAACAGATGTGCCATCGAAATTATCTGATTTGGCCAAGAGTTAAGGGGGATATTTTAAACTACTGGCTGAAAATTCAACCAATTTTAACAGAATTTCAAACAATGATATGGATCGCTAATCTGTTAATAATGAAAACCCTGCATACATGCAAACCTTCTAAAAATGAAAATGTTTTACAACTTTGTAAAGTTCCAAAAGTCCAAACCTAGGAGTATCTGGAATGAAAAGAAATTTTGTTGAATAAAACGACTAGCCAAATGACTTGTCTTTTCAGAGATTTTGGTCATAAATGGTACTAGGGATTTGTCAAGAAATTCCATTTTTGTTTTCTGTATAGGTCATGTATAAGTTTATGCCCTTTACCTATTCTATGTTTGTTTGAAGTATCCAGTTCAGTGATCATGGAGACAGGAAGACAGTTTCCCAAGGACGGTTCCCTTATACTAGCTGCTAAACACTGGTTCCAGTCTTTAATACATGTTACCTTGCATCCTCCAATGCTGGTTACCGGATCTCTAACAGCCAGGCCACGGGGACCAGATACAGCAGTGTTCTGTAAATAGCAAATGAACTGTAAGTATTGTAGCAGAAAATAGGAAGGAATGGTGTTGAATTATTTCAAGAATTTCATAACATTTCATCACAAGTAAACATTTCAATAGTGATCATTTCTGTAATAGTCATATCGAGTATTCAATACTCAATATTACTATTACAGAAATGAAATCAAATCAAGGTCATACTGAATGCACAACAAGACAGGAAAGAGTATATCTACCTCAAATAGTAAATATGACTGAAAATATTTTATCCCAAGTTTAAATACAAGTTTTATACTTTTGTTTTTGAATGATTTCTTCATAGCTTAAAAATCAAAGCGTATAATATCTGAAAAGCAATACTAGACAGGATTCCTATCAGATTATCCTTTGAATAAATTAGCATGCACTTTACCTCGGAAACTTGTGTAATCACAACTCCATTTCCTGTTGTATAAAACGGCATAATGAACCATGGGTAAGTGAACAGTACGGCTATTCCGATCAAGACAATGATAAAATTGTGCCACACGCCAGCGCAATAAATACGAAGTTGTCTGAGAGGGGAGATAACTTGTAGGTGATCAGACGACAGGTCAACATACGCTCCGGGATAAATCAGCAACAAAAACAGTCCAAAACCATTAACTCTCACTTGCTCTCTGCAATAATAACATAATAGTCATTATCTTTCTTCATAATTATAAAACAAATGATTCATGTATGCTTCCTTCACCTCTACCATTTCTTTGCCTTCACCTCTATCATTTCTGAAACATAGTTTTTTTATATTTATTTACAGAATTCTACAAGTAACTTAAATTAATACCACTAATATTGGACATTGAAAACATATTTGCAAAGTTTTATTAACCCTCCTCATGCATAAATCAAATAAATTGATCCGGCTGATGGATTTTGGAGTATCTTTCTTTTTTTAAGGAAATTTGATAAAAGTGTAGTAAATGATAATACATGTAAGGGTGCTCTACATAAATATATCTGAAATGTATCTTTAATACAATCTGTTTTAAAAAAATTCAGTAAATTTCAAAAACTTACTAAAATTAAATATCTATAATCATTTTTTATCTGAAAATATTAGTTCCATAAAGCAAATGATACACTCTGACATATTATGATTGAGAAATTAATATGGTAGCAAATATGCTGGAGATAAAAATGCTAAAACAGAAAACATATGCTTTAAAAAGATCCTGTAACACAATTTTTTATGGTCTTATATCATAAATATAATGCTCAAATTAAGATTTATCAGTATTGTATGTTCCAAAAAGCATTATTTGTTAAGATATTATCAGTTTACACTTCATGTAAAAAAGGGAGGTAATTAGATATTTATTTTCGATAAAGTCTCAGTCAAATTTTTCAATAAGAAATGAATGCATATATTTTAATGATTACATATAATGTGGAAAAATATTTGTTGTACATATTTTACATATTCTTCAATGTTTGAAATTTTTTTAGAAGCATAACTATATACGTATATAAAATTTCACTAAAGTGTGGTAACAGCCTTAATTACAATATACAGGATCTATAACTTAAATCATACAAAAAAACTAACCTAACAGCTGCTATAGCGTGTCCAATTTCATGCAGTATACCACAGACTAACAATGTCAGCAGGTAATATGATATTTGGCTGGTTGGCAAATTCACTCCGGGCATCTATATAACAAAAACAAACAATTATATAAATCCATTTCTTTTGACAAAATTTGATTTTATTTGTTTTTACTTTGAAAAAGAAGCATTTTGTAATCTAAATTTATTTAGAATTTAATTCAGAGTATAAATGATAATCTTGAAAAGAAATTAATTTCTGATGATACATGTTATCAATGGTTGTTTAAACTATAATAAAGTTACTTAATTTGACAACTTCATTCCACAAAAGATCAATAAGACATACCACAGGTGTTAATACTTGACTTTCAACCGTATTTCTAGTGAGAGTGTTGAACACCATCAAAGACAGCAGAAAAACTGACAACAACATGGCAACCAGACCAAAGAATACTCCACATGTGAACCAAGTTCGAAGGAACTGTGGTCTCCACTGTGCTAGACGTACAAAGGTTCGGTTCATTGCAGTGGAGTACCATCTGAACTGGCATACTGAGACAGAAAATCCAGTCTTGTCAAGCCAGGTGGTGTACCGTCTTGCAGACCATGGCTGACTCTGAAAATGAAATCTATGATCAGTGAGAAAATCAGCAATATTTGAAGGACACTGCTCTTCTGTCACTGCTTTGCCTAGGAATTAAAAATGCCATAAATGAAGATCATATTTAATGGATTAAATATAAATTTTGCCCAAACAAAATTGCAACAATGATCATAAATTAATAATATGAGACTTACAGACCATCAAAATAATTTCTGAACACATTACATTTCATAACCAGAAAACTTAAGATGTAATGCACCAGCTGAATCAGAATCATCCCAAACTTATGGAGATTTACAATTATGGTACTTTTAGAACAAGAATAATCTATAAAAAAAATCCATGCTATTAGGCCATCCTTAAAAAAATGTTCGTTTGCAGTAACGCGACCGACTCACAAAATTTGCCCCTACTCAAAATTTTTTTCATGGTCTGGATAAAAAATTTTTTTTTTGAATCAGAAAATTATGCCTTGTACTTTGTTTTCATTCTTTTAAAGGTTAATAGAAGAAATAAAATGTAGGTCTTATTAAATTAGAATTCAGTTATCAATTTATTAGTTGTTACCAGATTATCAAAGCATATATTGTCCAGCATTTTGAAATTCCATGTTTATTTGGGAGTACAGTTCATTTAAAAAAAAAAAAAAAAAAAAAAAAAATCGACCTACCTACCCACCTTGAAAATTCTGGGTCGGGTTACTGCAAACAAACATTTTTTTAAGGATGGCCTTAAAATAATTCATGCTCTTCTGGGACTGTAAATCAGATTGTCATGTAAATCACCAAAAATGCCAGCATCTGCGAGACACCATGGTAGGTAGGTAATGCCTATTTCAAGGACCCTACAGCTTTACTAGAACTTATTGATAATAAAATTATATGTCAAATGTTGCTGTTTAGATCAGGATATCTTAACTTACTTAAGTAGCTGTCTGTGGTTCCAATCTGAACTGCAAATATTACATTCATGTCAGATATTTTTTATACCATATTTTAAATGGTTAACCTCAACAAATTTATATGCCATGAAAATTAAGATCATTTTCTCTGTTAACATTTTCTACTCATGCATTGAATAACGGCAAAATGCACCATCCTAGAATGCAGTACATTAATATTGAGCTGAAAAGTGAAAAGCTGACATTTTGAAGAATGCGCTTTCTCTGGAAACCCCCATGTCAGAAAAGGTTTCCAGCATGGGAGAAACTAGTCAAACTAATTGTACTGCGTGACGAGATATTGTGCTATTATCGTGTCTGGGCAATATCTCGCCTCTATGTAAAAGCGAGACTCTGCCCCAGAACGAAAATATCTCAGAATCAAGTTTTGGCACGTCAATATATTTTGACTAGGGTGAAACCAACAGAAACATGAGTCTGATACACTACATATAGGCAATCAGAATCATCTTTATATGAAAAGCATTATTTTTTGCAATGTTTTTTGAGTCTATTGTGGAAGTTAAAGATCTCTGTCATTATTTTCCTTAGCTTCACCGTATTGGTCTCATTGCTTACTCTTTTATTCTTTAAAATTCAGACATTAATTTGCGTATAACACTCAGAGATAGATAGATATCGGGTAAGTATCACTTGGCAGCTTCCTCCTGCAATGATGAATAACTTAGAGCAGGTTTACAAAGTGAAAGCGGGAAGATTTTTAAAGGAAAACATTACATAAACACTTTTAGAATGTGTCACTGTGTAAAGTAAAACAATAATACAATCTACTTAACCTTTAAAAATGCATCAAGAAGATAGAGACTGGACCAGCATCCAAGGATAAGAGCTACCCAGGTTGTCTGCATCATTTTACTTCATCGTTTTTCTTTCAGTAATATTTTGTAAACAAAACAGCTGATGAACATGATGAAAGCACATGGTTTCAAAATAAACATGATTCATAATCATGAATGTATGGTCGTCACGTCATGATTCCTTAGAGTAGCTAATGAACAATCTCTAAAAATTCCAAATCCTGCAATATTTCATCAGATTTTCAATATATAAAAGCAGTTCAGCTTTAAAAAGAGTTATTTTCTTCTTCTCTAAATTCAGGAAATGAAAGTAAACATGTGGGTCAATCACAGGTCAGCGAAAACTTACGTATTGAAATCTGATTGGATAATATTTTGGATATTGAATTGTGGGAAATTGAGTGGTTCCCAAAAATTTCAACGCTAATTGCAGTGATAAACACTGAAAGCTGGATTCAGAGCCTTGCATCAGAAAGCAACATGACGGCAGAATCAGACCAGACACAGAGAAACCTCCAACCCCACTTATCAAAACAAGATCTTTCAACTTTGGTTTGTTCAAATGATACTTTTTACATAAAACATTTATTTAAAAAAAAGATTTCCTTCTCTTCATTATTATTTGCATATTGATTATGAACAATTCGTGTGCCGGTTTATGGAAGAATGAGTGGGTGGGGTACTGTTAACATATGGGCAATTCCAACTTCTATCAATTCTCATATGTTTAAGACCTCTGAATCTAATCAAGGATATAGCCAATTTATATTTTGCTGTTATATTCTCAATATATATCGCAAACATCACTAGCTACTTTTCATGAGTTTTCTTTCATACCTTTTATCAAATCAATAGTGTTTCTGCAGGTATCCTATTGAATGATTGATGAATTTTCTTACCAACTTAACCTATGTTACTGGTGTGTACTTAAGCTTTAATGAGTCGAATATCATGCATATAAGAACTTCATAGCATGTGAATGCATTGGGTTAACAGTTGGAGGTAATCTTATCTTAACATTGTATAATTACATGTATCCTGGTTGTACTATCGGTAGCAAGACACCTCACCCCCCAGACACTTCACCCCTCAAATTTTGAAGACACTTCACCCCTTAAGACACTTCACCCCCCAAAATCAGTAAGACACTTCACCCCTCATCCAATTTTGTTCTATAAAGTAAATAAAACAAGTTGGTCAACAACAAAATGCTTATATATGTTTATATTTATTATTTTTAGTATTATTTGATTAAAAATTTTGCATATTACCTTTATTTTTACTAAGTTTAAAGCTGATTTAGGTTAATTGGTTGTATTGCCAAATGATATATCACAGCACTTTCATCCATTAAGTGTTAATTGCATGTCACCTTGTTTATTCAACATGTTGATAAGTTGTTTATTCAACGGTTATCTCACAATTGATCAGATAATTGAATTAAAATGGTATAATTGTATGAAAATTAAATTCATTCTTAATAAATAAATTAAATAAATAAATAAATAAATAAATAAATAAATAAATAAAATGAATATAAATGAATATGAATGAATGAATGAATCAGTTGCTTTGTAAAATATAGTAAATATAAATATAAATTATTTATCATCATTATCAGACACAATTATCCTGCATTTAATACAAAGATCATTCATAATGTCATTTATTAAACAAATAAATAGCACCAGTTATGTAAATTAAGCACAAGGTTAAAGCACAAACCATCACCAAGTGAACGTAACTCAATGATTATTATATGGTAAGGATCAAATTGAAATCAAACTTAATTAAGTACCAAAACTTCAAGAATTAAATCAACTCAAAATTTATTAGACAATGGCTTAAAACAATAAACATACACAATCACTATTGAATGTATTTAACATAATCTACATAAATAATTGTTTAACACAAAATTAAAAAAAATGAGGGGTGAAGTGTCTCAATCAAATTTCTTAAAATGAGGGGTGAACTGTCTGAGGGGTGAAGTGTCTGCAAAAAAGGGCCTAGGGTGAAGTGTCTTGGGGGTGAAGTGTCTGTAAGCCGTACTATCTACCGGGAGTGTAAGCCTTATTAGGATAATCATCATATAATACAGAAAAAATCTAGGATAAAATAGTTATTTTCTGTAGAGTGTACCATTTTTTGATGAAAATAACAATCATCCAAAGAAATTTTAACTATACATTAAAAAGATAGTTCTGTTGATAACCTTATATGAGTGGCAGCCATTTTTGTTTTTTAGTACTTAATACCAGGAATGACTTTTAAGCAATCAATAAAAAGTTAAAAACATATGTAAATGGTCCATTACTGTTAATGATACTATAGTTCTATTCAATATTTATCAGTTATCACTAAGGGTGTAACGGTTTACTGGTATACCGATATATTGCAATATGAAAAAATAAATTTCGAACCGCGGTACGATTTTTGGAAAACCGGTATTTTATAAAAATCATCATTTTCAATTAATTGCCTTCTAATTTTGTACAAATTTCACATAAAATCTTTAATTGGCAAATTTTGTTGGCGCCAACGTAAGATAAAAGTATCCGACAACTAGTACACTTAAAAGTCAATAAGCGGCAGCATAATTTACATAAGCGGCCCATATGTGAAAGGTCACACGCGACTAGTTTTGTTTATCAAATTGTGTGACACTACTTTCTATTTATTCCTTACATTTTTATTAAGTTTCTACTAAAAATATATACATATAATAATAATATATAAATGTTACTCCATCTTTACATCAAAACATATACACGACAATACGTATTGCAATATATTGCAATACGCTTCAGCAAAATGGCAATATATTGCAATACGGTTTTTGCTGTATTGTTACACCCCTAGTTATCACACAGTAAAAGGGTAACAATTTGATAAGCATTTGCACACACATTCAAATATCATGTTGGGTCCAAATCGTTAGCAAAATTACTGGTTTTTATAAGTAAAACACATTTAACTTTAAGTGAATAGGGTTATTAAAACTTTGAATTTTCTCCAAAAAATGCTATATTTTGTCTGAAATTAATGTGAAAAACACTTGTATACAAAAGAAATTTTTTATGTAAGTATTGTTTGTAATATCTGGACATTCCCGATACAAAGTACCTCCCGGTATAAAGTACCTTGAGGATATATCATATAGGGAACTACTTCTTATTCCAATATACTGGCCATCTTCAACTAACTGAAATTTACTTCTCAAAGCTCTTCAAACAAAACAATGGGTAATTTTGATACCCCATATCAGGCCGAGCAACTAGCGGTTATTCAATATTTAGAACATTCTGAGATTTCCATTATTTGTGTAACAAGCCAAATATTGATGTATAACAATCAATTTTTTGGCGAGTGAGTATATTAAAAATAGTTTTTTAAAAATAGTTTTTAAGTAAGTACAAATTTTGTACGAGAACTACCTGCATGCCAGTAACTATTCAAAAGAAGTTTAAAGAGTAACACTGTAATAGGTATAGAAGAATGCCATTTCATTGAACTTTAAACATGTGAGTATATAGTAATTGATTTTCGTAATATGTTTCAGAAAGTTGAAGATCTAACTCCACTCACACCAGATGTCATCAGCAGACAGGCAACAATAAATATTGGTAAAATCTTAATATAAATTCCAAGATCTAGCTATTGTGATCATTTCTTTTATATATCATATTCAGTTTAAGAAAAATATTGCAGACTATAGGTTTGCCTAGTTTATTTGTATGCTGGCGTTTTAGGGGAAGGAGGGGGATCTTCATAAGCTCTGCTTAATATATGATTGGATTTCGATATCTATTGGTACTCATGGCATCCATTAGTTGATGTGTTATGTTCAAGAAGGAAACATCAAGATTACAGCAGGAGATTAAACTTGATGTATTACTAATTTTTTTCTTCGGTGTAGTTTTAACCTGCAAAATACTATAGTTTCAAAACCCACCACATTGCATATATTTTTTAAGAGACATTAGCTTCATGTTAGGATCAAATTAATTACTGCAAGGATGCATTGCCTTAAAAGTTACATATAAATAGTATAAAAAAGTTAATACTTACAAAAAAATAATTGCCATTTGCCAACTTAATACATTTTGCAAAAGTTGTTTCTTGTAGGCACACATTGACCAGTAATTGTTAAGAAGTTTAATGATGATTCGTTGTTATAATATAGTAAGAAAAATATCTCATTTTGCTGTACTGACAGTTAGCAAAAACAATAGATTTTTATAAACTATGTATTTCAGGTACAATTGGGCATGTGGCTCATGGAAAATCTACTTTAGTCAAAGCTATATCTGGAGTTCAGGTATGTAAATGTTAAGTGATTTTCTGTGAAATCTAATTATTTTACTGTCATTGAATGTACATGAATAAATGCTTTCGAAACATTTACAAGTTAAGCTAACTGAAGGTTGGTGGTTCTACATGGGGGCCAAGTCATGTATGAAATAGTGCATGAATGGCCATCTGAGGTCTTCCTCCACCAGTAAGGCTTGAAAGTTGTATGGGCATCTAAGGTCTTCCTCCACCACTAAGCCCTTATACTTGCCATATGACATTTGCCATGTAGGTTTTACTGAAAACTCAGCAAATCCAAATAAATAGATAAAATTATAGGATAAAAAAGACAAAAATAATATGCAATGTAGTCATTTAATAGTAAACTTTTATTCAGTGTTTGCATGTTTTCTGGGGGAAAATTATAATTTAACAAGTTAAGTTTTTCAATTAGTATTACCATTGTAATATCATAAGACGTCATATTCATGCAAGGCTTTGGCCAACTAGTTCTTTCCTGTACCACATATTTCATGTATAGTAACACTGCTTCTTTGCTTGTTTTCAGACTGTCAGATTCAAAAATGAGAAAGTTAGAAATATTACTATCAAACTGGGTTATGCAAATGCAAAGGTAAGTCATACAAGTGACATATAAACATAATGTATATAAATATACATAAAAATATACCATATCTAATTAATGCCCCTAGGGATGTTACATCTTTTCAATGGGAAATGTTTACTATAGAACAAATAAAATGTTAGATATTGTCAAAATAAAAAGAAATTTTACCATTTTGTCTAATTTTCTGCTTGATTGTTATATTCTGGAAACAACAGTTGAGTTATACTTTGTACTAATTTCCTTGGATTTATAATGATGGCTGTTGTCATGCCATCTTGTATACTTTACTTCGTCAAGAGGCTGTGGGGAAGCAATAATTAGTGAACAAAAATAAAGATAGAATTCACACTAGTACAATATACATGTAGATGAATAAAAAAAAAAAGAATTTGTTGAGGAATTGTATATAACTGCCCCAAATGAAGTTATGAAAATATAGTAACTCGAGTTTCTTAAATGTTAGTTTGTTTTGGAATTCCATTTGGAATTACATATATTTCAGTAATAAATTTAAAAAGGATATTTATAAGTTATATTTAAAAATACACATGTATCTTGTGAGGTGTAAACATCATTTATGTTAGATTGTGGCATGAGATCTGTTTATTTCAAATAATTTTCCTATGTTTTAATAACATATTTTCATATTGTAACAAATGTTATGATATATTTTTCTTGTAGATATATAAGTGTGACAATGATAACTGTCCACGTCCAGGTTGCTACAGATCGTGTTCTAGCTCTAAAGAAGATTCATTTCCATGTGACAGATCAGGCTGCTCGGGCAGATTTCAACTTCTTAGGTAAATTAACAAGACTGTGTTTGTTTGATCAGAATCATTGCTTATGGACCATTTTGGTTGAAAATTTGCCAACACTATAAATAGATAAATAAATTTATATATTTTAATCAATGTTTCAATATCTCATACAGTAAAGACTGTCTTAGTGACCCCCTGTATATAGCGATGTTCTGTCTTTAGTGACCATAGTTAGGTGCGCCGAACAGTATTTACTATATAAATGGTCTGTAAGTAGCCACTCCCTGTCTAGTCCGTACAACGACCATGATTTAGTCACCCGTTACGGTATTTGCGCCGTGAAAAGCGACTTTTGCAAGGGGAGCAGGGCGACTAGGGCGAGGAAGTCGCCTTCGGATTAGCGACTCCGCCTAAAAACAAACTTCAAAGAGATTTTGAAGTGGCCCGATTTTTAGCTCAACTATTCGATAAGAATAAGTAGAGCTATTGCAGTCACCCGAGCGTCGGCGTCGGCGTAACCACTTATGTTAAAGTTTTTGTAATAGTTCAAATATTTTCAAAGTCCATTGACATATGGCTTTGAAACTTTGCACACTTGTTCACCATCATGACCCCAACCTGTAGACAGGAGGAGGTAACTCTATCAAGCATTTTGACAGAATTATGCCCCTTTTTCGACTTAGAATTTACGTTAAAGTTTTTGTAATAGTTCAAATATTTTCAAAGTCCATTGACATATGGCTTTGAAACTTTGCACACTTGTTCACCATCATGACCCCAACCTGTAGACAGGAGGAGGTAACTCTATCAAGCATTTTGACAGAATTATGCCCCTTTTTCGACTTAGAATTTACGTTAAAGTTTTTGTAATAGTTCAAATATTTTCAAAGTCCATTCACATATGGCTTTGAAACTTTGCACACTTGTTCACCATCATGACCCCAATCTGTAAACGGTAGGAGGTAACTCTATCAAGCATTTTGACAGAATTAAGCCCCTTTTTCGACTTAGAATTTACGTTAAAGTTTTTGTAATAGTTCAAATATTTTCAAAGTCCATTGACATATGGCTTTGAAATTTTTGCACACTTGTTCACCATCATTACCCCAACCTGTAAACAGGAGGAGGTAACTGTATCAAGCATTTTTTTACTATCAAGCACTAAGAATAGTCGAGCGTTGCTGTCCTGCCGACAGCTCTTGTTTTAATGATCTGTTATACTTATTTACGCCGCTAGGTCTGTTTACAATTTGTTTACCTCTCAATTACAACTAATTACCGTTAATCCACTAGTTAAGAAGGCGTGTCAACATCAACAAAGTCTAATACACACCGCAAGGCAAGAGTTCACAATGTATATCTTTCTCATTATGTATTCATGCGATTGACGAATCAGAACGCGCGTTATATCTACGGCAGTTTGCATTGACCAATGGGCGACACGCTAATACACTGTGGCTGTTTGTTGACAATTACACAAAATGGCGACAGATTCAAACAATTTTCGCCGATTGAGTGATTAAAGACACCTGCATATACATAATTGCTGCAGTGTTTTGGCGAGTAAAGATAAACAATGCCCAACGTCTTAAAGGTGTGGTTATGTTCGAAATATTTTTTTCGGAGCACTTATCTGTAGAAATTATGTGAAGATTTGTGTCTAATGTTTTATTAAATACATTGAACTCCGTAAAGTAAACAGGCTGATTATACAAAATTAAATGTCTCTAACATCTCATTAGTAAAATTGAAATTAAACATTTTTTTACACACAGATTAATCAATATAAATTACATTTTTAATCAATATGTATCTTTTAAATACTAATGTAATGGTGAAGTTTATAATCTTAACCAATTATACATGCAATTTTAATACTGTCCTGTTTTTTATAAATGATATTTGGTATGTTTAATATCAATAAAAAATATAATTAAACCCTAAGCATGGTACTATCCTGCTTTTCAACAAAATATTGGTATGATATGTTCAAATATCCAAATTATGTAGAGACTGTCCACAGTGACTCCCTGTCTATAATGATCTTTTTTCTTTTCTCCTACCGAAGATCACTGTAAACAGTTTTTACTGTATATGGCAATGAATTTTTGCCATTACAATAAATATGAACTTTAACATTTCTCTTATATCTAACTCAGAGACAATATGTCTTGGCTATCTAACTCAGAGACAAACTTCAATGTAGCATGCTCACAGAAGAATTTCCATAGATTAATATGAAAATATATGGCAAATTTTATACCTGTCGGCAGACTGGTTAGGGCTTTGATATAGGGACTGCTGTGAAATTTGTGATGCCGAAATTATGATTCATCTCAATGAGAAGTAAAGTGCATAACAGCGATAAGACCATCACACTCTTGAATTTAATTTTTGAGGTGTTGCTCTTAACAGATGAGCTTTATTGTGACATTCAGTGCTTCTGTTGAGAGCTGATAAAAGGTTGGGACAAGCAATTAAAATATCTGTTAGACCAAAATCACTCATGTCTTTCAGGGGTGGCAAAATCAATTGTCCGTATTGCCCAGGTTGTCCCACAGCTTGTATGGAAAAGTGAAATTTTCCCATAATTTACTTAATTATTATCATACTGACAAGAGAAGAAATGCTGCAGATGAAATGGACAAGGAAGCCAAAATCAGATCTTGCTGTTCCTGTCTTTAAAACTGAAAGTATGTGTAATGATAATTAAATTATATATTCTTTGCAGACATGTTTCATTTGTGGATTGTCCAGGTCACGACATTCTTATGGCCACCATGTTGAACGGAGCGGCTGTCATGGATGCCGCTTTGTTGTTGATAGGTGAGTATTTTATCTTGTTTTAACTTCCCTTGAATTATTTTAGTAAATAAAAGTTTCATGGGCTTGGGATAAAGACATTTTTACAGGGTCAGTTATAAAAAAGAACATTTGATTTCATTGCTCTGAATGTGTTGTAAAAATAATCGAGGACATCGTTTGATAATTGAGCCCTTTGTCATGTCATTTTCATTCCAGGATCGTGTAACTTGAACTCTCATGTACTGAAGAACAGAACATAACGTGTATTCACCCAAGTGAAATAAAAAACAAAACCAATATTTAGTACTTAAGACTTCTTGCGCAAAACTTATGTATGAGGCAATTATGAATTTAATTTAATATTAATCTAATAAATGTAATAATTGTTATGTTTCAGCTGGAAATGAATCCTGTCCACAACCCCAAACCTCAGAACATTTAGCAGCTGTGGAGATTATGAAGTTAAAACACATCCTAATTCTACAGAATAAAATAGATCTGGTGAAAGAAAGCCAGGCCAAAGAACAGTATGAACAGATTTTAGCATTTGTAAAAGGTAATAAACGCAATAAAATCAATCAGAACAGAATCCGAGTAGCTGTAATTTATAATAATCATTTTGACACCATTTTGTGCATATGTCTTTAATACCTGTGTTAAAAAACATGTCTTGTTTTCTATGAAATTTGAAAATAATTCATGTACATTCTATTTCATTAGAGTGACATTATATTTATTTCTACATTTCCAAGTTGAGCTGATTTGACAATATATTTCAGAGGATTGACTGTAAATAATGGTGATTGTTGAACATTAGATATGGGAAAATGTTAAGGTTGAAGTACAAAATGTTCAAAATGTAAACTTATTTGGACTTTCTCTTTTTCACAATGTACCCTTAGATGGGCATAATGTCACTTTAAATTATAGAATTCCAATATGAAATTCTTAAATTTTCAACCCACAGTAATAGTTTTGGTCAGACAGTTGTGCAGACTTGACTTTGGCAACTTTAAGCAAGTTGATATTGCTGTTAACATTAAAACATTTAAACATTTCTATTTCTTATTCAGGTACGATAGCAGAAGGTGCTCCAGTTATACCTATATCAGCCCAGTTGAAATATAATATAGATGTAGTTTGTGAATATGTCACAAAGAAAATCCCTGTGCCAGTACGAGACTTTACTTCAGAACCTAGGCTAATTGGTAAGTACAATCTTTCTCTTAATCTGATTTTTGGTGATTTGATTGTCTCCCTTGTCTTTGTTAAACAAAAGCAATAGATGCTTTTCACATTTATTACCTCCCTTGGCTGCCATTTCCAATATGTTAAATGCTTAACATCAGATAAAAATCTTTCCTGATTATATCATCTTTAAGAAAACTCATTAAAATATTTTACATGTTGGTGCTATAGTAATATATATCTTGATATGTATAAAAGGATTTGAAAATTCACCAAAGTTTGCTGTTTACATTGACTTTTTCATGTTTTGTCAATTATATTATATAAAAATATTGACTCCGAAAATGGTTGCCACTTATGCAGAGTAGGTATGTATATATTTTAAAAGTCGGAAACTATGTATAAATTGATAAATATTTTTCATCAGCATGATGAATGGTTTTGTCGGGACTGAAATATTTGCAGCAGAATACAATTTTATACATCCACATTATCATGATTTGTTTCAGTTATAAGATCATTTGATGTTAACAAGCCTGGATGTGAGGTAGATGAACTGAAGGGAGGTGTGGCTGGTGGAAGTATTCTCAAAGGTGTTCTCAAGGTAGGTACCTGGCTGGTATTCACCACAAATCCTTAAAATTATGTATTTTCCTATACAATACTAAGTTTGTTATATTGAATTTTAGCTTGACTAGTCATAAAGTGATACTGCTGGGGGGGGGTGGGGTCAGTGGAATGTTGAGGCATGTAATGAAATAAGTAATATGAAATATAAAGAAATAAGTAATGGCTATACTGTATAACTGGTTATTTCTGCGGGTGCAAAATGTTGTATTTTGGGACTGAAAATAGGTATATTAATTTTTGCAGATTTAATTTCTACATTTTTCATCAAAACTGTCTTATCCTGGATTTGTGTTGATATCCTGAGCCATATGACATTGCTAGTGTGTAATGAAATACAACTACAAAAAAAAAACAGCAACAACATATAATGAAGTGGTGACATAATTAAGTAGTTAAGAAAGAAATAAGTCTTATAAAAGTGTTTATTTTAAGATTAATGAAGAAATTTAACTAATATGATGATCATTGCAGATTATGCATACTCCTTCTAGTGAAACTTAGGTTATCATCACACTGTTTAGCACAGTATTTAATTTTTTTAGCTCACCTGTCACAAAGTGACAGGGTGAGCTTTTGTGATCGCTTTTCGTCTGGCGTCCGTCCGTCCGTCCGTAAACTTTTACTTTAAATGACATCTCCTCATAAACCACTAAGCCAATTTCATCCAAACTTCACAGGAATGTTCCTTTGGTGGTCACCTTTAAAAATTGTTCAAAGAATTTAATTCCATGCAGAACTCTGGTTGCCATGGCAACCGAAAGAAAAAACTTTAAATATCTTCTTTTAAAAAACCCTAAGAGCTAGAGCTTAGATATTTGGCATGAAACATCTTCTAGTGAGTGTCTACCAAGTTTGTTCAAATAAAATCCCTGGGGTCAAAATTGGCCCCGCCCCAGGGGGTCATTGATTTTCCCTATATGCATATAGTAAAAACTTAAAAAAATCTTCTTTTAAAGAACCCAAAGAGCTAGAGCTAAGATATTCAGCATGAAACATCTTCTAATGAGTGTCTACCAAGTTTGTTCAAATAAAAGCCCTGGGGTCAAAATTGGCCCCGCCCCAGGGGGTCATTGATTTTCCCAATATGCATATAGTAAAAACTTAAAAAATCTTCTTTTAAAGAACCCAAAGAGCTAGAGCTAAGATATTCAGCATGAAACATCTTCTAATTGGTGTATACCAAGTTTGTTCAAATAAAAGCCCTGGGGTCAAAATTGGCCCCGCCCCGGGGGGTCATTGATTTTCCTTATATGTGTATAGCAAAAACTTAAATAATCTTCTTTGAAGAAACACAAATTGCTAGAGTTTAGATATTAAGCATGAAACATCTTCTAGTAAGTGTCTACAAAGTTTGTTCAAATAAAAGCCCTGGGGTCAAAACTGGCCCCGCCCCAGGGGTGTCATTGTTTTTAACTATATGTGTGTAGTAAAAACTTAAAAATCTTCTTTTAAAAAACCAGATGAGCTAGAGCTTAGATGTCTAGCATGAAATATCTTCTTATGGATGTCTACCAAGTTTGTTCAAATAAAAGCCCTTGGGTGAAAATTGGCCCTGCCAGGGGTGGGGGGGAGGGTGAGATCATTGTTTTTCATTACATGTGTGTAGTAAAATAGTAAAAACTTAACATTGTGAAACATCTTCTAATGAGTGTCTTCCAAGTTTGTTCAAATAAAAGCCCTGGGGTTTAAACTGGCCCGGCTCAGGGGGCCTATATACAGGTGAGCGACCTCGGGGCCATCATGGCCCTCTTGTTTGAATTTAAGGTTTTTACTTTAGTGTCTTATTCATTTAATACTTAAATTGCAAAGGTCAAAAGAATCTATATTTAAAATTTTGAACTCCTTATTCATTTACCTCAAAGTAAATTCATACACTTGTAGGTTGGTCAGGAGATTGAAGTACGACCTGGAATGGTATCAAAAGATCAGGAAGGCAAATTAACATGTAAACCTATCAAGTCTAGAATAGTTTCATTATTTGCTGAGCAGAATGACCTTCAATACGCTGTACCGGGAGGTCTTATAGGTATGTGATGCTGTGTTGTACAGACTCTTCAAGTATCATTTTCACATTATTTGATGTAGCTTAACCACATCACAATATTTGATGTAGCATAACCACAGAGTTTGTTACAACAACTTTGACATTGGAATGGTTGGTCAGGGGTTCTACACATGTGCCCACTTGTGCCTGAAATAATGCAGGAAGGGACACCTTTCATCTTTCTCTGCCAGTAAAGCTGGGAAGTCATAATTTATGACATTGTCACTTAAAGTCTTATCTTTATCCATCTACCTAGCTAGAGATGTTAGATGAATGTTTGAAATAAATAAATGGTTTCTGAAAACTGTTACCTGAACTGCCATCCTGTGAAAGTATCTGTTGCCCAGTTTAAGAAAAGTATTTCACAATAATACATGAACATTCTTTGGGCTGTAGATAGAGATGTACCAGTGAATTATCATTATAACTTTCGTGTACCTTTGATAAGTATTATCAACTGTTTTCTGAGTTGAGGCTCCATTTGGAAAAGCACTGAAGTAGCTTGTAATTTTCCAACTTAGTTTTCATAAGTTAACTTCATACTCATTCTAAAAAAGTCACAGCCAATGAGCTAGAAACTCTACACTTGTTGCCTAGTACTGGTTTGTTCCAGGAACCAAACTAACAATTTACTAAACTAAAAACCCAAATAGTCTTAATTCCGGAGTGAGTCTGTTAACTAAAATGTGATCTGTCAGGCACTTTTAGTAAGTTGTTTGTTTTGTCTTTTTTTTTGTCACAGGTGTTGGCACAAAGATAGATCCGACATTGTGTAGAGCTGACAGAATGGTTGGTCAGGTGTTAGGTGCTGTAGGAGCTCTCCCAGATATCTACACAGAATTGACAATATCATTCTTCTTGTTAAGACGTTTACTTGGTGTGAAAACTGAGGGAGATAAACGTGGTGCAAAGGTAAAATATAATAATAAGGAAATGCAAGTCATTTTATTTGGCTTGTCTAAAATACATGATGAAAGGACATTGACATGTATCTTTCTGAATTTTTATAACTGACCTCAACTTCATTTTACTTAAGTTACTTGATATAAAGGGAGACACATGCAAAATTTAAATTTCTTTGTTTTAAATTTTTCATTCATTATTCTGTAAATGTCCTTAAAATGAATACTCTAGGCAGTCACAGGAGCAAAACTTTACTTCTTATAAAGAATAAAATGCCGGTTTTCTAACTTGACTGGCATGGGTCAGGTTAGAGCGTTAAAATTTCACAAAAGTTGTCACAGTGAACTCTGGAAACGTTAATGAACATGTCAAATGAATTGCTTAGACTTGTTTTAATTATCCAATATCCACAATATCTATTAGTGAAACTTCCAGGGTTTTTTCAAGTCATATGACTTGTTTTAAAACTACTCGGTGATTCTGTCCACATCTAAATTTTGTTCAACATATGTAGATATTTTTATGCTTCAAACCCAAAATATATAGGATTTAACAGAAATTTATGCTGGTATTTTAAGAAAATGTTGTTTTAGCTTGATTTGAGTACATAAGTTCATTTTAATATTTTTGTCATTAATTTGCTTGAGTATCCCTTTGAGTTAATATACATGTAGTTCTCTTGTAAAAACTCACTTTAGTATTATAACATGTAATGTTTGAAAATATACATGGTCTTTAAAATGCTGCATACCTGGAATGGCAGTCATTGTCTTAACTTACCAGAAATATTTGCTTTTTAACCATTTCAAATGTTAATATTAAAATTTGTTTTTCAAAAAATGTTATACATGATTGATGGTAATGGTTTGATTTCAAATATTTTTGTAGAAGAATAATAATTTTTACACTGTGAGTCTGAAATAAGATGTGTTTTTTCTTTCAAGGTTCAAAAATTGACAAAGAACGAGATTTTAATGGTCAACATTGGTTCCCTCTCAACTGGAGGTCGTGTTCTAGCTGTAAAGGCTGATTTAGCCAAGATTGGTCTTACTAACCCTGTGTGTACAGAAATAGGCGAAAAAATTGCTCTTAGCAGACGTGTAGAGAAACATTGGAGGTGAGTATTTTGTCACAAGATGGTTTCCTTTACTAACTTTTGAAGCTAAATAGTTAGATAGAACCTGTTGATAAATGCACCTTATTGGTCAATATTTTATTTCCTTTGTATATTTTTATTTCATAGCCATTCTTTTTAGACTGTCTTAACTTTTTCCTTATTTTTTCTTGAACTTTGGCAAGAGCTGTGAATTCCCTATATTATATATTCTGTAAAAAAAAAATGTATATATTTGGAAGAACATAGGACCACCATGATAAAGTTATTAATTTTGCTGGCTTTGAATTGAATACAACTTTCTGGTTTAAATCTCATCAGTAACCAGGAATTCTTTAATTATAAAGATGCTACTTTGCTAAGTTAGGGAAGGTTGTTGGTTCTATTTATGTGCTTCCTTGTGACTGAAACGATGTACAGTGAGCGGCACCAAAATTCTGTCAACAAGAGTAAAGCTGGAAAGCCTGCATATAATCGTTACAGTGTCAGTATTATTTAAAACACAATAAGTAAATAGATTTTAATTGAAATAAACTTGCATATCACATTGTTTTATTTTACAGATTGATTGGATGGGGACAGATCAGACAGGGAGTGAAAGTGACACCTGTAGATTAAATAACGTGTTCTATAGACCTAAAAACTGTTCACCTATGGCATTTAAAAAAAAAAGAAAACATGGATGGAGGTGAAGATTTCTGCCGTTTGAATACCAACCAAGCAAACTTTGATTATTTCAAATATATAAATAACAATTTTGCAGTTCCTGATAAACATGCTTATTTATAACATTTTCATAGAGACATTATCATGAACTTCTATACTCTCTGCAAAATTATTTATTCCAAGCTTGCTTGATAATTTTAGTGCTGTTTCCAAACCTCTCGTATGAGTTTAACTTAAAACTATCAGAATATTTGGTTTATCGTGAAGGAAAGTGCATAGAATTATATTGCCTTTTGAATATTTATCATATGAACTTGAAATTTTGTACAGAAACAAATAAAAAAAGAAAAATATATTGTGAGTTCTTCATTAACCTAGCCCAATACAATAAAATCTACATGCCTGTTTAATGTGGTAAGTGTAAAGATATTGATGCCACAATGTCGAAAAACACATGTACAGTATATGAAATGATCTATTTTGTTGATTTAAAGGCATTAGTCGAGGACTGAACCCAGGAGTTGTACAACAATGACTACTAGTTAATGAAAATGTTCATTATAAACTCTTAAAGCAGCATGCCTCTTGATGATGTGAGTTATGGTAATTTCAAGTAAAATGTTTTGAGATGAACAAAGAATATCTTGCATATTACTTTAGTTTAATTTTATTTAAATATTTTCAAAATTTGGTGCATCTGGAGTTGTGCAGCTTTTAAAATTGGCACATTAATTTTGTTTTAATTACCTTTGACTAAGGCTTAGTCTAAAAAAAATGTATTTTACCCATTATATGGTAGAATTTAAGAAAGATGATATGAAATGTTAAAATGCCATTTGATACTTTTGAATTAAAACAAGCTGTTACAGTGCATATACTGTATCAGGTGATGAGCTATTTTGAAAGAATTCCCAAAAAAGTATTGCGTACATAAAAACCCTATTGTGAAATGACAAAATGATTCATCACATGCTCATTAAAATCTGAACAATTTGTTACTTCATTGGTACATTAAATATTTACCGATCACACCATTATTTATAAAGGATAATAATGAGATCTTGACTTCTGTATCCAATTTATGGAATGAGAAAGTTCACAAACATGAATGCCAGGAAGATGGTTAAGGAACAATCCAACAATTTGTTTGGGTGCACTAAATTTGATAATTATGATGATAAGCAACTATTGGTGGATCTTTGCAATCACCTCTGAAAAAGTATTTTAAATTTGTTGATCAAAAGCAATAACCTACTGGTCCTGGTGTCTGCATCTCAACCTAGTGATATGGGATTTGAGACCTACTCTATCCTCATATGATACCAATCCTGGTAGACTCTGTATAGTGGTTCAAAATAAGCTTCAAGGTTTATGATCAAGCTCAAATAAATATTAATGTTTAAACTAAAAGCTACATGTATTATACTACACTGATTCTTAAATTTTATATTAATCATGTGTTAAGTGTATTTACTGTGGGACTAGCAAGATACACAAATATTGATGCAATGCTTGTTTGAATATAATGTATAAGTTTAAAAGGCTCATTTAGCCAACTTATTGGCCATATAAATGAAATATCTTTTGCTTTTCTTTTTTATATGCCTGAAAGAATTTCATATTATGTTATACCCCCTGGTGTCCATCCGTCCGTCTGTCCATCTGTCGGTTAGCAATTTGGTTTCCCGAGCATAACTTAAGTTCCATTTGGCCCACAATATTCAAACTTCATAGGATGATTGTCCATATTGGGTAGAAGACCCCTATTAATTTTGGGGTCAAAAGTCAAGGTCACTATTACCTTAAATCTAAAAAAAGTTTCCGGAACGTAACTTAAGTTCCATTTGGCCCACAGAACGCAAACTTCATAGGATTATTGTCCATACTGGATAGAAAACCCGTATTGATTTTGGGGTCACAAGGTTAAATGTCAAAGTCACTATTACCTTAAAACTGAAAACAGTTTACGGAACATAACTTAAGTTCCATTTGGCCCACATTGTTCAAACTTCATAGGATGATTGTCCTTATTGAATAAAAGAATCCTATTGATTTTGGGGTCACAAAGTCAAAGGTCAAAGTCACTATTACTTAGAAATTGAAAACAGTTTCTGGAGCATAACTTAAGTTCCATTTGGCCCTCAATATTCAAACTTCATAGGATGATTGTCCATATTTGGTAGAAGACCCATATCGATTTTGGGGTCACAAGGTCAAAGGTCAAGGACACTATTACCTTAAAACTGAAAAAAAATTCCGGAACATAACTTAACCCTTTCACTGCCATAGGGACGGCTTAAGCCGTCCCTGATATTTTCGGCGTATTTGCCATATGGACGGCTTTAGCCGTTTCTATAATAATAATAGTAATAATAATTAATTAATAATAATAATAATAAAAATAATAATAAATATAAAGAAAATTATACAATCGACAATTATTATTATTATACTAACAGATTTGGAAACATATATAATTATTATAGTACTAATAACAAATAATAATAATTATATTAAATAATAATATAGTAATTTCTAAGAAAATCCTCTGGCAAATAGGTGAACAATAAAACAATAACCCTCTGGCAGCGAAAGGGTTAAGTTCCATTTGGCCCACAGTGTTTAAACTTCATAGTATGATTGTCCATGTTGGGTAGAAGACCCCTATTGATTTTGGGGTCACAAAATCAAATGTCAAGATCACTACTTTAAAACTGAAAACAGTTTCAGGAGCATAACTTAAAAATCTGGAAACAAAGTGAGTTCTATTTGGCCCGGTACAAGTCAACCCGGCCCCAAGTCAATACGGCCCCAAGTCAGCCCGGCCACAAATTGGTCAACCCGGCCCCAAACCAATGTTATTTCTGGTCAACCCGGCCCCATGTTTTTTTTATATCTATTTTGCTTTAAAATATAAGCACTTGTCAAGAAATAAAATAAAAATTAACAACAAAAACAACAACAAAAGTTAAACGATGATATCTTTTATTATGTCCAATGCATAGTTATACAATGTTCAATGCATAGTTCTACAATGTTCAATGTATAGTTCTACTATTATTACATAATATAGGTAAACTGTAAGACATTTTTTGTATTTTTTACTATAAATTGTTCATAGTACAGTATAAAATGTTAAAAGAGAAGTTTTTAATAATATATCTTCACGAGACTTAGCAATTAACAACATGAGATATGAGGTATATACTTAATGTTGAAATAAATTGTTAAATCAAGATTTATATATTTTGCATATCAGAAAGGAGGCAATTTTACATTTTCTAAGATTGTATATCAAAAAAAGTATCCAGACATTATTGAGTTTTATGGTATTCATCTATTCTGTTACGCACAACATATTCACAATCAATGCAGTTATCAATTTTGGGGCCGGGTTGACCAATTTTGAGGCCGGGTTGACTTGGGGCCGGGTTGACTGTAATTCATTTGGCCCACAATATTCAAACTTCATAAGACGATTGTTATTTGAAGGAGGTAATACTTTATTTAATTCCCATGTCTTACAAATGCTTCATCTTTACTAAAAAAAAATCACTTTCTGGCATATAATGCTCTACTTAGCAGTGCTCTTGTTGGCAATTGATTTTAGTATTTTGTATGGAAGTCAACAAGTTGAATGCAAATAGTGTACAAAGATTATAATGTATACAATACTGTAAAACAATATATATTTTCTTATTTGATCACTTTGTAAAGAAAGGGAAGAAACGTTATTCACTGCAGGAAAATATTTAGCGGTGTTTTACCATCGCATAAAATTTAGTCATGTTAATTGTATTCAAATCATTATCACGACGTGCTTTTCTTACATCCGAAAAATGGCTACTTCTCCAAATACAACATTAACTTCTCCTAAGAAGAAAGATGAATCAATTCTTGAAAAGATTGGAACCCTAGGAAGAAAGAAAAAGGTTAAAGAAGGTAAAATGCACAATTTTCATTGTTCAAACGAGCTTAATCATGAAGATTCTCCATCGCCAAATTAGGGCATTATGATTAATTTTGTGGGTGGGGCAAAAATGTAAACAATTTCCTTTTGTTTTGGAATACAGTATCTTTGAATTGAATTGACATGTTATATTACCATGAACTGTTGTTCATTTATGACTTATTTTGGAGTCTGGTCAATTTTCACTTAATTTTACAGGGTCCTACTGTACTGTAAACCAAAAAATATTTTAGCAACTCGAATAAAATTATCTCAAAATCAGAAGCAAACTCCAGGAAATAATGTACCAAAACATATTTATTTAGTGTGAAAGAACATTGAGTTATTGTATTATGGACTTCCATATTCAGGGATCAAGTTTGCTAATGTGCAGTCTGACCAAGACTTGAACCCTGGACCCTCAGAATACGAGTGGGAGTGGTTTCGTCTAACTACCGGTTCTTCTAACTGATCTTATATAATAAAACAGGTAGTGGTTTCGGCTAACTTAATTCATATAGTGAACAATAGCTATTGTATAATGGGCACATCAATTATCGCGGGTCTTAATGTGTGGTTTATCACACATTTTCATGCAATTAAAGACAAGAAACTGAAAATTTAAACATATTATTTATTCATTTCTTTAGTATAATAATGATATTTACATACAATAATAACACAAGATCTCAGTGAATAAACAACATCATAGAAATATATATACGTTTAAAAGTACAACCTGAAAAAAAAGCCCTAACCACGGATTTAAATTACAAGGATCGGACACTTTCGTTTAGCTTAAAGTCCCGTGGCGCGCATGCGCGGAATCGGATAAAGGTGGACAGAATGAGATGGCGGAACGCTCGAAGTGTGAAATATGACATATTTTCACAAGAGTACGTGGTGTTATTGCAGCTCTGTGAAAAATTATACACATATGAATGTATAGATACAGTATTATTTTGTGCAGCTAAAGTATTAATATATGAAAATATGCCGATAGAACGCTGCGACGCTTAGTTAAAAAGTACCTAATTTGAAAAATATTCGCCTATTGTTTAGGCATACTCTCTACACTTTGACGCCCTTTTACGTCAAGCATAGATTATTACCGCGATTCAGATTAAGATAATTATTTTTTACATGGTTTAATGGTGGCATTGCAAAAAAATGTTCCTTGATTGCTAAAATACTTTTAAAGAAATTCATGTTTGAGATGTGTCTTTATTTCTGTGAATTATTTCCAAATGATTTGTACGTGTTTTATTTGATCTACCCTGGGACATAAGACATTATCGTATGTCCCAGATCTACCTGTATGTTAGTATAAACATAGTAAATATTCTACTAATTATTGTATTAAATATATTTTCAGATCATTCTAGACATTCGTTCATATATAGATGAATTCATTAGATTGGCAAGGAAGAAACTTTTATTGGCATATAGAACAGCTGTTTTATATATATTTTTTCATAGTTATCCTTCACAATTCACGTCAAATGATTTATTTGTCATAAGTTTATTTTCATTATTTTTCAAAGAAAGGACTATACAAATTAAGTTGTTTATTTTCAATTTCATTTATAAATGTTAATAAAGAAAATAGATTTACATTGTATTTATATATATCCTCTTCAGAATCATTTTCTTACCACACATGCCATGGACTGTAGTTAAAGACCGCGCACATACAACATATACATTCAAATTCTATTTGTTTTTAAAGATTGAGTGTTGAAATTATCACATGTAACCTGATAATGAAAGTTTGAAAATAAAGTTTTTCAATTATCACTTGTTACCTGGTAATTAACCCCCTTCAAAAGTAATTAAACTTCAAAGAAATTTAAGCGATGTGTAAAAAATAATCAACAGTTACTTTTATTTCGCATAATACTGACTCAAACTGTAAAGATTTTTATTGTTTTTTAGCGTTACATTAAAAAATATCAGAAATATCTTTCTACAGGCATTCAAATAAAAAGAATAATTAAAATATACGAGTGAAATAATTAAAATATACGAGTGACATTAAAAAGGCCGGAATCGAGACAGCCACACGAGAGTACTTTACTGTTCCGATGATTGTCTACTGCACTGCACCGACATTTGGAAAACAGATTTTACAAAAAAATAATAATGCTATAAATGATGAAGAAAATTTAAATATCCTATGAAAATGGCAATACATGTATTGACAATATCAGCAATATCTTGTATTTAAAAAAATGAATAAATTTACTTTACGTGTTGAGCGAATTGTAAAGCCCGCAATACATTACCCGTAAAACAATTGTGCGTCAATTAATTTGATTACATAACCAAATAAATCTTAAATATTGCATCTTTGATCAACTGTGAATAACTTCCATCGGCTTCTTTTTTATTTTGAAATTGAATTTATTATGTTACCGTAATAATAAATTTCAAATATCTGCTTTTTATATAAAAAATGTAAATTTACCGCGGATTTTGTCAAGTTAATTTCTTAATCGTGGTTGCAGACAGATAGTCTGTACCTTTAAAAAATAAATTAGATATTTGAATTAAACAAGCATTTTTCTTGAAAATAAACTTTAAATTTCAAAAATCGGATAATAAATGGAAAAGCTATATGGTATTTTGTAAAGTAGGTATCCGTTGCGAACGGGCATTTACGCTTAGCGCTGGTAAATTATCAATCGATGTACCTTTATCGGGTGCACGACAAGATATTTAAGCATTTATATAGAGTTAACTAGGAGTGTCCGATCCCTGTAATATAAATCCGTGCCCTAACTAAACAATTAATTTTGCAAACAAAATAATATTGTTTTTTTTTTGTAATTTATTCTTGACTCAAAAACAACCTCAGGACAACTCCAACTACGAAAAAATCTAAGAAACAGACAAATACGAATGACAGCGAAACAATCAACATTAATGACATTACTACAAACATTCCAGCGCCTATCTCACCTCTACCATCGACACCAGTAAACACACGTTCACCGGACACAGTAGCCAGTACATCTTCAACATCTACAGTATGCCTGGATGAAACATTAATGTTTAGTGACACTAATGAACAAATTATTTCCGTATCATCCATCTATGGAACATTCCAAAAATAAGAAAAGACGTAACACAGAAAAACTTTGGTATCTTTATTATTTTGATTGTATTATATACTATATATACACAATCAACAACTTTCTGGCACTTAGCCAACTCTCATTCTATTTTTAGAAATTTTTGATACTATTTTTGGTAAGTCATGTGACTTACCATCCTATTCATTTTCAATACTTCAGACCCAAAATTCTGTTAATTTTTTATCCTGATGAAGACCTCACGGTAGGTCGAAACCGGTAGATAATTAAATAATATAAACATCCCTGGTGTTGACGTGTAATTTTCTTCCTACTTTACCTTATCAAAAATAATTTATCAAATAACGAAAAAAACTTTTCAAAATAAGTATAATTATATAAACATACTTCTACAATATATTATATTCATTAATGATATTTGCGTCATAATTTAATTATAACAAAATATTGATGATAAAAACACTATATACGTGTATATGAACCACGTTTACTTTGCCTTTAACTACTATATAACATCTGTTATACGAAACCACTTTCGCACCTCTTCATAAATTAAGTTAGCCGAACCGGTAGTTAGACGAAACCACCCTAATTCTCAGAATACTGATGCACAACTCTACTGACTGAGCTATAAGACTGCTTATTTATTTCATCCCCAAATAAGGAACAGTTCTAAAGAATTAATTATTAACCCTTTCACTGCCATAGGGACGGCTTAAGCCGTCCCTGTTATTTTCGGCGTATTTGCCATATGGACGGCTTTAGCCGTTTCTATAATAATAATAGTAATAATAATAAATTATTAAAAATAATAATAAAAATAATAATAAATATAAAGAAAATTATACCATCGACAATAATTATTATTATACTAACAGATTTGGAAACATATATAATTATTATAATACATATAACAAATGATAATAATTATATTAATTTAATTAATTAATAATATAGTAATTACTTACAAAATCCTTTGGCAAATAGGTGAACAATAAAACAATAACCCTCTGGCAGCGAAAGGGTTAATGTTTTCGCAGAATTCTTCATTTCACCAGAAAATACACAATTATAAAAAAAAATCTGTTTTAAGTGTGTTTGCTTTAACATTGTCTTCTACAGATTTTAGCTTTTTTATTGACTTGTTCACTTTTATCTGGATAATTTCCAAATCTTTCTTTATTGTAAACACTTATCTACAATATACAAAGTTAGAGTACTGGAGCCTCTATAGTATTTTCTGAATCAGTATGTTGAACCGTTATGTCTTCCTTACAAAGTAACAAGTTAAATCATTATTTGATTTTCAGCTATTGAGCTTCAAGAAGAAGGTAAAAATGCGATAGAATCACCAACAAGTCCAACTACAGCAAATGTTGGCCCAGAAGGGTACTTTCTTGGTTAGTATCTTAGTTTTAATTATTTATTTGATGCACTTTAAAGGTTATTAGTATTCGACATTTTCACATTTCATAAGTTATTTTCACATTTTACATGACATTGTCATATTTTATATAATATCTTAGTAAGTCCATGTTACAATATTCTTCGTGGTTGAGGGGTTAGAGTCGATGACTTCTAATCCAGATACCTCTCTGGCGTGGGTTCGATCCCCGGGAAATGCTTTGGTAGTTTAGCGTGGCGGAAGGTAGTCTAGTAGTACTGGTGTAACTCTCCAGGAATGATGGTTAGGAAACTACCCGCCTATATGACTGAAATACTGTTGGAAAAAGGCTTGAAATGAAACAAACATACAATATTCTTCAAATTGTATGATAAATATTTATAGTTGAGATCCTTGAAGAAAAAGTGATCTACCCTTATAAGGGTGAGGGGGGGGGGGTCATCCATGCTTAGAGGGGCACTTGAGGTCTTCCTTCACCAGTAAAACTGGAAAGTTGCCTTATGACCATTACGGTGTTGGTGGGATGTAACCCCCCCCCAACCCCTACCTCCCAGCAAAAAAAAAAAAGAAGAAAAAAAAGTGATAATTGTTATAAAAAATAAAAATCTCCAAAATACTAACATGTATGATAAATTTTGATTATATTTTCAGAGGAAAATGAAGAGAGGTCTATGATTGAGCCAACTTCAAGAGATGAACCTAAAGTTAAAGAACTAATTAAAGTAAGACTATTATTATAAAAGACCATTTATTTGCTTATATTCTATATATGTTTAAAATGTTTGTATTCAATGAAACTGATTGCATTAAATGTTTTATTGTACTTTTTGTGAAGTATGTAATGTTCTTATTCTTGAAGTAAATCAGTATGATTGTTTATATAAAATCATCATTGAACCCATTGCCCCTGTCAAATATCTGCTTAAATCAAATCTGCATAGAGCATTTTTCATCAGAAATTTAAAAAAAGGTGCATGATGAAAGAGATTTTGTTAGTTTCTTATTTTTTAACTGTCTGTAAAATTGCTTTGTTTAATATTTGTGCAAATGTGTACATGTTTATATGCCATGCTGGTTATATGCTATTATTTTTACATGATTTTGTTATCCCCTTACACCCCTGTCTGTATGTCAATCCTCCCTCTGTCTTTCCACATTTGTACATATATTAATCATTGGTTTTACAAATCAACATGTAGACAGAAAGGAAACAGTATTATAACTTTACTTAAACTTTGCATGATTTTAGAATATTATAACAGAAACAAAGACAAAAGAAAGAAAAAGGTAATAAGAATTTGGAGTCACAGGCCTTGTTTCATGTGAGTAAAATGAGCAGATAATGTGACTGACTCTGTTGTGTTTGGTTATATCTGGTTATTTCCCTTGATATTACTTCCTTCAGTGTGTACAATTAAGATTAATTACTTTTATAATTAATTATTTATTAAAGATCAATTTCATGATGTGACTGATTATTTTCAGTTGCTCCTGGAGTGGATTAATGATGTTTTAGCAGACGACAGGATTATTGTCAAGGATATAGAAGAGGATCTTTTCGATGGGCAGATTTTACAAAAATTAATTGGTGATTATTATAGATCATGACTATTAATATCCTTTGAATTATTTCCTCTTAATTGTCTGTAGGTCTATAAATGGATCCATAGAAAATCACAGACATGTAATATTTAAATGGAATGCAATTTATTCAATAATACATTTTTTGGCTAGTCATGTTCTGTTTTAATGAGAAACATTGTACCTAATCAATGCAACATTTACTTCCATTCATCTTTGAGAAATTGGTTTCTTATGAAAATTAATAGGGAAGATCGTGGGACATGCCTAATGAATATCAGAATGTTGATTCATACTTATCCTTAACCCTTCTATACATGTAAGACTATATTTGTACAGTAGACCTGCTCTGCTTTAAATATGGAACAGTTCCTTAGAAGTTGAAGGGATTTCAATGTCAAAGTGCAGAAATCAAAAATCCATTTTTATATGACATGGCAGGCTATGTTAACCTGCAGCTTTGCAAAAATTCACTGACAGCATAGGTGTATTGTGTCTTATCACAAGTTGGCTCTAAATTGATAACTCTCTACAGTACATCAATATGGGAAAACTTGTTTCAGAATAGCTGTTGTTTTTACATTGTGAACTTAAGAGATAGAAAAGAGAAGTTAATAAATATAGTACTGAATATTGAAAACAATTTCTTCTTTGCTCCTTTCAGAAAAGTTGGCTGGTATAAAGGTAGATGTAACTGAAGTTTCGCAATCAGAGATGGGACAGAAACAAAAACTACGCGTTATTCTTGATGTTATAAATAGAATATTAAATCTGCCGCAACTTGGTGCCTGGACCCAGCAGAAATGGAGTGTTGATAGTATGATTAATGTTGTTGTTGTTGTTTTAATCTTTTCTTCAGCTATATTTTATTTCATGGACTCAACCTTCTCTAAATTTTTGATTATCCATTGTTTACAATCTGAGCCAAAATTGTAGAACATCATTAGCAAACACTATAAATTCTGGCCAGTCACGGAGGTAATGCTTGATTCCTGGAGCGATATAGATTTGTAGTGGTTTTCTGTCATGAACAGAATGATTATTTGTATTGTGAAAATACATATATACTTTTCAGCTCAACTGTCACAAAGTGACAAGGTGAGCTTTTGTGATTGCTTTTCGTCCAGCATCCATTAACTTTAACTTTAAATGACATCTCCTCATAAACCTCTAAGCCATTTTCATCCAAACTTCACAGTAATCAGTAATCCTTTGGTGGTCACCTTTGAAAATTGTTCAAAGAATTTAATTCCATGCACAACTCTGGTTGCCTTAAATGTGTATAGTAAAACATAAAAAATCATCTTTTCAAAAACCCAATGAACTAGAGCTTAGATATTAAGCATGAAACATTAGTGAGTGCCTACCAAATTTGTTCAAATAAAAGTCCTGGGTTCTAAGTTGGCCCTGCCCCGGGGGTCATTGATCTTCCTTATATGTACATAGTAAAAACTTAGAAATATTCTTTTAAAAAACCCAAAGAGCTAGAATTAAATATTGATTATGAAACATCTTGTAATGAATATCTATGCAGTTAGTTCAAATTAAAACCCAGGCCCCGTGTTCACAAAGATTTAAGGATCAGGATCAAGATCAGGATCAAATTTAAAAACTCTTAATATTCTTCCTTTTTTACCCTCATAGATTAAATATCTAATATTAATTTGATAGAACTGGACTTGCAATAGCAAATTAATGAAATTTTAGAATAAATTTATTGTTATTTTTACAAGAAACGGGTATTTTCCAGTTGATCCAAATATTGATCCTGATCCTAAGATTGATCCTTATTTTGATCCGAATATTTTTGTATTTGTTTTGTTATTTGTTAATTTTATCTCAAAAAAGTTTGATTTCTGTTCAAATCAGCAATTTTTTACATTTTGAATATTTACTATTTAATTCTAGCAAAACACAATAAATTTTAGTGACATAAAACAATGAAAATAAAATAAGGATCACTTGATCGTGATCCTGATCTTTTCTTTGTGAACACGGGGCCTGGGTTCAAAATTGGGCCCGTCCCAGAGGTCATTCATTTTCCTTATATGAGAAAAGTAAAAAACTTAAAAAATATCTTCTTTTATAAAACCCAAAGAGCTAGAGTTTAGATATTTGTGTTCAAATAAAAGCCCTAGGGTCAAAGTGGCCTCGCCCGGGGGGGGGGGTGGCGGGAGGGCGTGTAGTTTACAATATTACTTGTTCCTTGTCATTAAGAGTTTTTATATACAGATGAGCGTTTTCAGGGTCATCATGGCCCTCTTGTTTTTTGTTGGTTTGGTTTTATATCGCACCAACACAATAAAGGTCAAATGGCAACTTTCCAGCTTTACTGGTTGATCTCAGGTGCCCCTTTTGAAGCTGGCACCTGTACCATCAGTATTCTTGAAGCTAGCTGGATAGCTCCCTCACCTGATAGAATCCAAAGTTTATTGCATGATTTGAACCCACAGCAATGAGGGGCAAGTGATTTGAAGTCAACCACCATAACTAAGAGGTGGCATAGAGGTTAAGGTGTCTGCCTCTCAACCCAGAGATCATATGTTCGAGCCCTACTCGGGTCATGACCATGTTTCTTCATATGACACCAGTACTGGTTGGGTCCAGGAAGCGGACTAGAAAGAGATAAATATAAGTTGCAAAAACTTGTTTCACAATGGAGCTTAAATAAATATGTTTAAACCAATGACCATAACTGCTTGGCCACAGAAACATACATACTTAAACATACTTTATTGAAAGAACAATGTCTTTTATTTTCCTTGAAAGTTAGTGGTATATATCATGCCTATAATCATGAACAAACATTTCTAAAAATAGCATTAGATTATTATAATACCGGTTTTATATAAGTAATGTTTTATTCTGTAAATGTATAGAGAGAAACTTTTCGTGTCTTGCTTTTCAGGTGTTCATTCAAAGAATTTAGTTGCAATTTTGCACCTCCTTGTGGCTTTGGCGAGACATTTCCGTGCACCAATCAGATTGCCTGAAAATGTTAATGTATATCTGGTTGTCGTCCAGGTAAGATTATTTGATTACTGTTACATTATTAGTTATAAATACTTTTGACATGTTATATGGGAGAGTTCAAATGGTTGTAAGAATATATAATACATTTCCAAGATCATTTGCCTTTTAAGTTTGTTCTACTGGTTATGTATAAAGTATAAGTCAGTGGAAGTTCTATCATCATTTACAACATCACCTGTCATAATTTAGATCGAAATTAATGACAATATATGATCATAATATATGAAAAATCTATTGAATTAATACATACAAGAAAAGTAACTTGGGCAAATTATGTAAACAAGTTTCTTGATGAATGGAATACATAAACTGAGTTCCTGATTGTCAAGGACGGACATCTGTACTGAGTGTCGTAGACATAGGTGTCTACATTTGTACTGAGTGTCATAGACATCTGAACCAGGTATCTCTGACATCTGTACTGGTTGTCTGTAACGTCTGTACTTGGTGTCCATGACATCTGTACTGGGTGTCTGACGTCTGTACTGCATGGCACCAATATCTGTACTAGTTGTCACAGATATCTGTACTGTGTGTCACAGACATCTGTACTGGGTGTCACAGACATCTGTACTGGGTGTCTCTGACATCTGTTCTGGGTGTCTCTGACATCTGTACTGGGTGTCTGACGTCTGTGCTGGGTTTCTCTGACGTCTGTACTGGGTGTCTCTGATGTTTGTTCTGGGTGTCTCTGATGTCTGTTCTGGGTGTCTGACGTCTTTACTGGGTGTCTCTGATATCTGTTCTGGGTGTCTCTGATGTCTGTACTGGGTGTCTCTGACATCTGTACTGGGTGTCTCTGATATCTGTTCTGGGTGTCTGACGTCTTTACTGGGTGTCTCTGATATCTGTTCCGGGTGTCTCTGATGTCTGTTCTGGGTGTCTCTGACGTCTGTTCTGGGTGTCTGACGTCTTTACTGGGTGTCTCTGATATCTGTTCGGGGTGTCTCTGATGTCTGTTCTGGGTGTCTCTGATGTCTGAACTTGGTGTCACAGACATCTGTACTGGGTGTCACAGACATCTGTACTGGGTGTCTCTGGTATCTGTACTGGGTGTCTCTGAGGTCTGTTCTGGGTGTCTCTGACGTCTGCACTTGGTGTCACAGACATCTGTACTGGGTGCCACTGACATCTGTACTGGGTGTCTCTGACATATGTACTGGTTGTCACAGACATCTGCACTTGGTCTCACAGACATCTGTACTTGGTGTCACAGACATCTGTACTGGGTCTCTCTCTGATATCTGTACTGGGTGTCTCTGACATCTGTACTTGGTGTCTTTGACGTCTGTACATGGTGTCTCTGACGTCTGTACTGGGTATCTCTGACATCTGTACTTGTTGTCACAGACATCTGCACTGGGTGGCACTGACATCTCTACTGGGTGTCACAGACATCTGAACTGGGTGTCTCTGACATCTGTACTGGGTGTCACAGACATCTGTACTGGGTGTCTCTGACGTCTGTACTGGGTGTCTCTGACGTCTGTACTAGGTGTCTCTAACATCTGTACTGGGTGTCTCTGACATCTGTACTGGGTGTCCCAAATGTCTTCTGTACTGGGTATCACTTACCTCTTGATATCACAGTCGTCACTACTGTGTGTCAGATGTCTCTGGTAGTCACAGACATCTGTACTGGGTGTGATAGAAGTCTGTACTGGAAGATAAATGGTTGTAATATTATAATGACTTCCACATGATACTGAAGGTTATGAATGACACAAAATATAGACTAAAGTGTCGCATGATAATCACATGGGACATATTTACTATAAATCATGCTGGTAAGGTTATCACGATTCACCTTTTCCTTTTACTACGCCTTTTGTAGCTTGCCTGTAAACATGAACAGCTCAAAATTTTATCTTTAAATTGAGACCGATTCACGAGTCGAAGTCCCGGTGTGTCAAAGATTTTACGCAAGTCCCTTCAACTTCGACTCACCAAAGTTCTACTCTACTATTATTACTATGCTTTTTAGATGCCTAAATGGCAGTAACATGATTATACCCTTGGTAGTCTCTGTCTTTCAGTGCACACTTTAGAAAAAAGATAAGGTGCCTCTAACATTAAACAGAACAAAAAAGAACAATAGACCCCATTATGTTTTAATAGAAAGAAAGAGTTAATGGCCCTTTATTAGAAATTGCCCCTTTTCCTGTTTCTTAGGGATGTTTGTCGGTATTCATGTTTGTCTGACCATTTGCAGTTTTGTGTCAGTTGTATATCTTGAACCATTTGAAGGATATTCATAATGCTTGAGTGAAATGTTTCTATATAGAGACGTCTTACAGAATCCAATGGCCTTGGATGTGACTAGCAGTATGCACAGTCATTTCCTGTACACTAATTAACTTTTAAACAGTTAGAGGGACATTATATGGTCAAGGTCGCAGTTAACGATCAATGTTCTAGACAGCAATTTTTTTACACAGCAAGAATAGCTAACCAAAGTTTGAATACTATAATTGTTTTGGACAAGTTTCATAAGTGGGCGTATTCCCCCATTGAAATATTATCTTTTGTTCATTCAAACAAATTTGCATCTAGGGTTGTTGTGACCCACCTCGGTGCTCTTGATAATGAATACAATACATTACTTTACTTCCCGTATGTCAGAATAGTCTGTAGTGGTAGACAAATGGTTTTAATATTATAATATCTTCCACTGAATAATGACGGTAATGAAAACCGCACATGATTGTCTGTGTTTGAAACAAACAACCATCATTATCTGCGATGCTGTCGATTGAAACTTTTCCCTATAAACTGGCAGAGTTTTATTGAATTAGTAAAAGAAAAATTCACCAATTTTGATTTTTTTGCAAGTTTTGAAATATTTTAGTATTTATAATTAACATTCATTGTATATATATATATCAATCTCAAATTGTAGAAAAGAGATGGTATTCTGCAGCCAAGGCGTGTCGCTGAAGAAATTACAGGGACAAATGAGTGAGTAAATCTTGGGTTGGCAATCTTGTTGAATTTTGATTATTGTCATTTGTCATACGCCTATAGACCTTAGAGACATACAATGGTATTGCGTTGTTCATTTGCCAGTCTGCACTACCAAAAAGGGATAAGGGGCCATCTAACTGTAAACAAAATAAAAGAAAACAATAGAGTTAATTCTCTAACAATAGAGGAAGGGGCCAATGGCTCTCTATCAAACAAAAGAAACTAACAATAGAAATTGCCCTTTATTCCATTTTGGTCGCATTTCAGTTTGTCTGTCCGTTCGCACTACTGAATAGGGATAGGAGGCCATTTCATTATAAACAAAACAAAAGGAAACGATAGATAAGTTGTCAATGGCCTTTTATTAAACAAAAGGAAACAACAAATGCAATGGTCACTTATTTCATTTCTGTCACATGTCTGCCTTATAGACAATTGGTTCATGTAGCATAACTTTTGAAGAATTTTAATGATTATGTTTATTTTTGACATGTTATATAAAAACTCAGGTCAAGTTTTACTTTGGCTACAATCAACTGATTATTGATAGAGTTATGCCCCTTTTAAAGCAATTTTGAAGTGAAATTATTGTTTTCTGTAGAATAAGTTCAACAGGATTTCAGTGATTGTTTTTATATTTTGCATGCAAGTATGTAGAATAAAAACACAGGTCAAGTTTGATTTCTCTGCAATCAACTTATTGCAAATTTCTTGTAATCAATTTTTTTTTTAAATCTATGCTTAGTTATATTACTTATATATTAACTTGTTAATAAAAAGAATTAAACTGTAAATTTTCTTTTTTATTTGATTGAAAAATCATCATCTGTGCAATTTATGACAATAAATTTGGTATATATCTCTAAGACACATTTTTAGTCAATGATACCTTCTTGCAAATTTGGAATTGGGTGTAAATTGCCCCACCTCAACGAAGCTGTTCATGTATTAGAATGTTATTTCAAATTTTGTTCATTATTTATTTATGAATAACTTCAAGTAATATTAAGCATTTACATTAATTACTTTAGGGATAAAAAGTAAGAAATTAATCTTTTTTAAAGGTGAAGATGTTACATTTATGCAATTTTCATCTTTGATCGATTCTGGCAAAGATTGCATTGCTTAGCAACTTTTTTGTTGCATAGATATCCTGTCATTATATCTTTAATGTGTTTCTTCTGTCGCAATGACAAATGAGAAAATTATCAAGAAATATTTTCTTTTTTTGCTTTTTCAGAGATGTCGGTGGAAAGTTTGGTAAGCAAGTAAACAAGTTCTTATATGTAATCGTATATTAACTAACAGATATGTTTAAGAGATATTTATGTAATTCCATACTAAAACCTGTTATGTCATGTAAAAGATAATGTATGCAAATGTTATTGGATATTTCAATGTAAACATATTTTTATATATACATGTATATAACAAGCTTTGTATTTAGGATTGGCAAAGGGAATTTATTTCTCTATATGAGTATGTTCTAACAACTGTGTGATGTATCAAGGCTTATTACAAGTGAAATATGATATGGATATGTGAGAGGACATGTTATTTATAATGAATTTTTTGAAATCTATTTGTTGGTACAAAATTTAATTGTTGGATATTATTGAACAGTATAAACTGCTAAAATTTTGCTTTATTTAAAGATCCAGTACAAATCATTTGTTTGAAATGAATGAAGGAATGAGGGGAAAAAGAAGAATAAATAAAGGAATGAGCAGTGAAAGATTGAGTTCATGAATGAATGAATGAATGAATGAAGTTCACATAAAGGAAGTTCATAAATGAAGGAAGTTCATGAATGAATGAATGAATGAGGTTCATGAATGAATGAAGTTTGTGAATGAATGAAGTTTGTGAATGAATGAAGTTCATGAATGAATGAACAAGTAAGATTTTATTAATTAGGGCAAATTAGAACATGAAAGTGGTACATATGAACTATCAAATTTGTATTGATGCTGTCTGTATGTCATAGTTCCTAAAACATCTGTTATTAATTGATCATATTAATTCCACCTAATATTTCACCTTGGTTTATTTTTATAATAGAAGAGATTGATGGTAAACTAACTCTTGTTTGCACAAATAATTTTATTTTACAACTCATGCATTATGTTTCTATCAGGGCTCAAAAATACATAATAATAACTCTTGTCGAAGATTTTTACACATATTTAATTTTAGCAACACTGTTACTATTTATTATTTAGACTCTTTTGGTATTGCACACATTTGAAAATTTCTTTTAATCATCTTCAAATCATTGTCTATGTGACATAGATGCCCCCACATTTCACAGTTTTGCCAGTGTATAGATGGACAGCAGGACATAAGGACAAGAGAAAAATCTATATAGCTTCCAAATGGGTGTTTCAAAAGTTTTTCATGACACTTTGAGACTTGTCAATGATTATTGCAGGATGATTATTGCAGGTTACTATCACCAGGTCAGAACCAAACCAACACATTTTCATTTTAGTATGACATTTTGCTATTGAGTAACTTGCACTTACCACTTACAAGTACCATCTTTGAACAGGCTTTATCAAACTGAGCCTGCAACATTTTCAAAATAAATGTTTTGGATGTTCTTTAGGAATTTTTTTCTCTATTTTATCGTATACCCAAAATTTCAGGTAATATCCTTAACACAAATTAAGATAGGAAAAGTTCAAAAGGTATTTTTTATATGATTTTTTGAGCCCTGACCTTCATGTCTATCTGTCAGTAAATAATGTTAATGGCATTTCTGTTGCTATACATGTATATTTTACGCTTATTCAGCACTAAATATGCTTATATATACATGTACATATAATCTTCTATATTGTATCATTATCAAGCTATGCTTTAATTTTGCATCATACCTAAATATGGCATTTCTATATATAGAACAATGCAATGTCTGTGCTACTATTGTTTAATTGTTTGATTTCATTGGAGATGATTAGAAGTTTTGAATCCTTACCAAACTTGGTCTTTAACTTTCATTGCATATACATATAATTCTATTTTAAGTTAGTTAATCCAACTTTCAGTTTGCAAAGCTTAGCAGTTCTGGACACATCTTTGTTGTTTATATCAATTTTATTTTATAAAATAGAGTCAAGCTTTGTAAGAAAAAGTAAAAATTTGTTTCATAGTTTCTTCAATGAGTATTCAAAATTTGATTTAATGTAAGAGTTAGAAATATAAAATGTTATTTGACAGGCCTCAGTGGCCAACTGATTAAGGTATCTGGGTTCAAACTGCAGCCATTTTAAACTGTGGGTTCAAATCTTACAAAGGATGTTAGATTCTTTCTTGTTAGAAAGCTATCTAAGTAGCTGACAAAAGGTCAGTGGTTCTACTCAAGCACAAGAAATAATGCCCGGAGAGGTGCCTCTGGTTCTCCTCAACCAAGGCCGGAAAGTTGCCATTGTAAGAGTGACTCAAGCCCAAACCATTTTTTTTATACACTTGCACTTATATTTTGAGGGTTTAATGTTTTTGTCTGTCTGTCTGCAGACAGACTTTAACCTTGTGTCATATTCATTTCTGGAAACAATATACCTTTAGAAAATAGCTTATTTGGATATAAGTCAAAACTGTCTTACGTGACCTTCCAGGGGACTTTCTTAAGAGAGTCACATAAGACAGGGAGTCATAAGACAGGGAGTCTCTTAATACAGCACATACATGTAGTGTTAAAACATTTATTCAAAAGTAAGTACAGTGTTAAGAATTGTATACATGTACATGTACAATGTAATTGAATATTTGATTATTGAATGGACTATTAAACAATAAGTGCCTATAAAACTAATAAAATAATGTCATAATGTACATGTATGTTTTTTCATGTTTCCGGTATGTTTTTAACCAGACAAGAAGTAATAACAGAGTTATCTTTCATAACATAGTTGCTAAAAACAATAATATGCAAATTCCAGACTATACAAATCATGGTCGCTAGTCATGTTACACGGTGAGTCGCTTAATACAGTGCAACTTTTGTTGAAATCGTAAGGCGGACTCAAGCGGGTTACATAAGACAGGAAGTTACTGAATACAGTGGGTTACTATGGCAGTTTTGACTAAAATGCTACTGTGATCATACATAACATTGATTGTCAATCTGAAGTTTTCAAGACCAGGAAATTTCACCATAAATGATATTGGACATTCTAAATAAACCTAATAAAATAAAATAAACTTGCAGCTAGTCCTCTTTTGCTGGGTCATGTGGGGGTTGTGTTCATTGAAAACCACCCTTCCTTGTTGATCTTGTTTTTCATATTTTCTTCATTGAATATCTCGTATCACATGACTGCAGTCACAATTGATTCTTTTAAATGATTTCTTAATTAAGCCAGAAATTCTTCAATTATTCAAAAATTGTATTTATGTTTCATTTATTGTTTTAGCGAACAATTTATATTATGTACAGTAAGTATTTCACTATACACGATCACAATTTACCCCTCGCCCCCACCCCCAGCTTTCCCTTCCTATCATCCCTTATGACCTTTATGTTTTATGGTTCTAATTATTTTGAAATTAAAACTTGCTGTTTTGAACATTTCAGAGCGAGATGCCTTTGACACTTTGTTTGATCATGCACCAGACAAACTCAATCTTGTGAAAAAGGTATAAAATTTATATTAGATATTTTTAACATTATTAAACAGGCAGTACTTGCTAGTTAGTTATGTAATTTAGCAAAAAAAAAAAAAAATAATAATAATAATTTTAATATTTCCAATATTTTATGAATAAACTATGAATATTGGTTATTACATGTGCATTTAGGTCCTGCCTTGGAGAATATACATGATACAGAGCAAATATAGATGGTTAAAAGTAGGGTCAGTATGCTATGTTCTGTTTATAGAATCTAACTTTTATAAGAATGATATAAAAATGTTGTGGTGATGAATGGTGATTTACAAAATCTTATATAAAAAAAATATGGATGAATACATGTATAACATAAGCTCCTGATGAGACTAGTGTTATTTTAAAACAAAACAACAAAAAAACACAAGATATATTGACACCTTAGTGCAGTAACAGGTTAACTCCTTAAATAATTCAATGGGAGTTAACCTGTTACTGCACTAAGTTGGCAATATTGTCCTTCATACTAATAATATACAGAAATTTACTGAAAAGAACAGTTCTGAACCCTCAAGTGTCAAAATGGTAAACTAAGAAGCGAAAATGCAGCTAATGATATATAAAATAGAATCTGAGTGTTACAACAGTGCAATTAGCAGTAAATATAAAACACTGGCTCCCTAACTACTGTATTGATTGTAAAGGTTGAAGTTCGACACATAATTTATATACGAGTGCAGAAATAAAGATTTATGTGGATATTTTCTGTTATGTGTATGATCCTCTACCTTCATGTCAAACTGTAAGACAATATAGGTAATTGTTAGTGTAATGTTAATAGAATCAATAAATCAAAACTAAATTCAATAATAAGATGAAATATTGGCAATTAAAAATAAATTTATCTGCTGCAGTGAACGTATTAGCTACTGATTTATGATTTTATACTTGTATTTGATGATGATATTGATAGGTATAAAACTTTCAGACAACAATTAAACAGTCAATAATGAATTTACAATTATTATCTACAATCTAGACTACTAGGGCAAGCTGACTTGGGTTCCTCTGTCAGTTGAGTGTTTGTTCTACAGTCCTCGGCCTTATGGGTTTGAGTCTTAGTGGATTTTAGCTAAGGCCAATGCGTCACTCTACATTATTTTGTTTGTATTTTGCAGGTCTAATACCATTTGTAATGAGTCCTCTGTTTTAAATGTTTTATGTTTAGGAGAAGAATATTATAAAAACACTTTGTCTTCCATTCTAATCCTGATTTGTAAGAATATTCAAAATGCTTTTGTATATATTGTAAATTGTAACACGTATATATATTCTGAAAAATAAAATATGTGTAAAATAAATGTTTAATGTAAAGAAGAACAAGAAGTCAGAATTAATCCAGTTAAAAAATTTTGCACTTAAATGACCCCTTCCTCAAAGAAATGAGAAATCTGTTCAATCGAGAAAATGTATAATGTAAAAAAAATTAAACTAAACATTTTAATAGTTTGACTTTAATTTGTCATCATTAGAAATGAAAATCAACAATAAAAAAAATAATAATTACATAACGTCCATTCAGAGAGTTACATCAACATCATATTTAGCGTACATAAATATAATTATTTATATACTTAAAAAGATTTTCTCACTTAAATACTAGCAAATCTTGAAGTGTGAATACGCTTCAACGGATAGAGTATTCTAATAATGTTATTGACAAATACGGTACAATTTTTGGAAGTGCCCGACTATTTTAAACGTTGGTTCCAATTTACGCTGTGCATAACGTAGCATTTGTAAATGGGAATCAAAATTATTCAGTCATTAATTTATTTCTTGACAGCTAAATTTCATTTCCAGAAATTACTAATAGAAGTGAAGTTTATTGAAAATCCTTTTTACTTAAAAGGTAAAGGTATATGATAAAAGGAAAATTATGTTGTAGTAGCTTTCTGAGGCTTTGTATTTTGGTACTTGCAATGTTGGAAAATTGATATCTCCCTCGACCTGCTGTCTTGAGAGATATCAATTTTCCTCCGCTGCTCATTGTAAAATACAAAGTCTCAGAAAGCAACTATAACATAATATTCTGAATATATAGGTCAAAATGGTTTTAGAATAAAAAAATTGTTCAATATAGAAAATTTGTAATAAAACCCAATAAAGTTACATTTAGGATAATTATGAAACAGGAGGAAATACAACTAAAATGTACAAGAAAAATTATGCCTTAATGCAAATGTTATTTAAAAAAAAAATGAAAGATCTCAATTTATGGTGTTTTCTCCATTAGTAATACATAAAAGGCACTATTATGTCCACTACAGTGACAGTATGCTTTGAAACTGTAATCTAGTATGTATAATTTACCAAAGAAATATAAAACCTTATTTTTACAGAATACAATGTATGTTTATAAACAATGTATGTTTATTTTGTTTTAGTTACTGCAGCATTGTTGATTTCTTTCATTTCAGACACTGGTGACCTTTGTGAATAAGCAACTTCTAAAGGTGAATTTGGAAGTTTCAGACATACATACACAGGTAAGTTATAACATCTGTCCCATGTATCCTAGTGACATATTATCAGCTGCTAAATTTGAGCATTATAGACACACTAGTTATATATAATTTCTTTATACCTGCATACATATTGAAATAAGCAGCCTCCATGACTGAGTTGTTAAAGAAAAAAGTTGCCCCATGGCTTAGTGGTTAAGGTTAAAGTGAAATAATGGGCCTGCCTGGTCGAGTTGTCAATGGTCAGGGTGAAATAAGGAGCCTCAGTGGCCGAGTTATAAATTTGGCAGTGAAATAAAGAACTTTGGCTGAGTAGTAAAGGTGGCAGTGAAATAAAGACATCTTTGGCTTGTTAGTAGAGGTGGCAGTGAAATGAAGGGCCTCCGTAGCTGAGTGGTTAAAAATGGCAATGAAATAAAGGACCACCTTGGCTTAGTGGTGAAGGTGGAAATGAAATAAAGAACCTTCTTGGCTGAGGGGTATAGATGGAAGTGAAATATAGGGGCCTCCTTGGCTGAGTCGTAAAGATGACAGTGAAATATAAGGGCCTCCTTGGCTAAGTGGTAAAGATGGCAGTGAAATAAAGGACTTTGGCTGAGTAGTAAAGATGGCAATGAAATAAAGGACCACCTTGACTTAGTGGTGAAGGTGGAAATGAAAGAAAGGACCTTCTTGGCTGAGGGGTAAAGATGGAAGTGAAATATAGGGGCCTCCTTGGCTGAGTGGTAAAGATGACAGTGAAATATATGGGCCTCTTTGGATGAGTGGTAAATATGGCAGTGAAATATAGGGACCTCCTTGGCTAAGTTGTAAAGGTAGCAGTGAAATATAGGGGCCTCCTTGAGTGAATGGTAAAGATGGCAGTGAAATAAAGGGGCCTGCTTGGCTAAGTGGTAAAGGTAGCAGTGAAATATAGAGGCCTCCTTGGCTGAGTGGTAAAGATGGCAGTGATATATAGGGGCCTCCTTGACTGAGTGGTAAAGATGGCAGTGAAATATAGGGGCCTCCTTGGCTGAGTGGTAAAGATGGCAGTGTTTTATAGGGGCCTCCTTGGCTGAGTGGTAAAGATGGCAGTGAAATATAGGGGCCGCCTTGGCTTAGTGGTAAAGATGGCAGTGAAATATAGGGGCCACCTTGGCTTAGTGGTAAAGATGGCAATGAAATACGATTCCTCAGTGTCTGAGTGGTTAATGTTGATAAATTTATCACCTTTTTTCTGTGGACTCGTATCCTTCTAGGGAGTTATGATTGTATTATGGTAGTCATCTATATAGTGACAAAGTTTCCAGCTCTAACCTGTAACAATGCAAAGATTACACCAAAGTTCTTCCTTCACCAGCCAAGTAATCTAGAAAGGCACTTTATTATTACATGACAGTGTCAGTTTAACTTTAAACCCAACCAAACAAAGTTAAGTAAGAAAAAAATAGGTTATCACATATAGAATCATATTAGTGTTGAAAGCATCTTAGTTGTATGCTTGTTTGCCATTTTGCATTGTTAAGTTTGTTTTGTATAAGAATTTGTATTATTTATTACCAGAACTCTCCTTTCACTGATGTAATTGTGTAATTTCATTTGGCATAATGTAAATGCCCTTCTTTAATAACAATATATGAATTACCAATATTAATGTGATTGAAATGAAATATTATCCTGTTTTTGTTTTATCAGAAGTGTAAATAATCTATTTTATATTTAAGTTTCATGATGGTGTGTACCTTGTTCTATTGATGGGACTACTAGAAGGTTATTTTGTACCATTACACAGTTTTCATCTGACCCCTGAAGAGTTTGACCAGAAGGTTTGTACAGAATTTACTTTTGCTTCAACTGACCTAGGCTTATAAGGATTAACTCTTGGCCTGCTGGCAGCATCAAATTCTACCCATGTGACCTGTGCTGTCAGTGCTGTCTGGTTATGGTCTGCGCTGTTTGATTTTCAGTCAGTACATACTATGAAATTTTCACTAAAATGATGAATGGTTGTGTCCATATTGAAAGATTAACAAAGTCCATTTGAGACGTTTAGTGTGGTAAGGGATAAAACCACTTTATTTATAGAATAGACTTTTCCTGCATTAAACCTTGGAACTGTCCATTAATTTTATGAGGTAATGGTGTTATAATGCTAAACTTTATTGCATGGGTAGTAATTTTCAGGGTTATTTCTGTTATATGTAGAATATGGATTCGACTTAAGCACTTTTATGGCACTATGATAATATCTTAACCCACAGAGTGGCACCAAGGGTCTTCTCAGACTAGTAGCCTACAGCTTGAAAGTTGACCTTTACTGTGTTGGTGTGGGTAAATGGCAAGCTTAATGTATATTGCCATGTGCTTGCAGTCATACATTTATCACATTAATATCAAAATAAAGTATCAAGCAATACACTGCTAGTAGATCCCATACAAAAACCGTAGTTACTTAAAAGCTTTATTTCAGTACGCTCACTCACTAAATATTGACACATCAATATTTGGCTCCTCACACAAATCATGGATATCCCAATATGTTCTTTATATAGAATAACCTTTAGTAATGTAGTTATGAAGCCTAATATTGGGTACCGAAATAACCCATCATTGAAGTGCTTGTATGCATGATATTTTACCTATTAAAGCCATAAAGTTATTAAACATAGCATATAACTTATTTTTGTACCTTCTCCTGAACTGATACATTGTACTTAGATTAAGTCTCATTCTCACATCTGTTTTTATATAGGATCTGTTCACGAGCCAGTATGAATAAATAAATTGCATATGTGATTATCAGAGTAGGTAGTGTGTGAATACTGTGATGCTATTCAGCTAACTTTTTTGAAGGTTGGTTGTTCTACTCAGGTGCCAACTCATGTCTGAAATAATGAACTGAGGGGCGCATGAGGTCAGCCTTCACCAGTAAAGCAAAACAAAAGAAAATTTGATCTTAGTACTGTTGGTTAAACTTTAAACCCACCCAAAAAAAAACAAAAAAAAATTGAATGACTTTGGTGCTAATTGGGCACTAAACTTGATTAAAACCAAACTAAACACCCAATTAAAGGGAGCTGATGGGTATCAATCGCAAGATTTCTAGTTGTGAACAACAGTAACTTTCTTAATTGTCCACTGTCCTTTTTGATCTCAAAATTCATTGTTTTATTATCAGCAGATAATTTATCTATTCTGTCGATCACCGCTAACAGTATCTCTTAAATCATTAACTTTAAAGATAATGTAAATAAATTAATTATGTTTTACAACATTCATCATTCAATGCATTTTATTCACTTCCTGACATGATGTAGTGGGAAAAAAAAAGAAGAAATTATTTGAAATGAAGTATGATTTACGTTTGTTGTGTTTTTATAGCATGATATATAGAGTGGACCCCTAAATATCTCGTGCCTTTTAAAGTGTTCCATACATGTATATGAACTAATGCAATAAGTAAGTCTTACAATAGAATTCTGGTTATTTTGCAATACCATTGCCCTTTTTAAAAATAAAATACAGGCATGCAATTTTCGCTGCTAAAAATTGGCTCAAAGAAAAAATCTGCCAGTTTTAGCCCTGGTGGTGAAGATTTGCCTAGAAATACTTATTCATTCTTAAATCACTAAATTATACATTCAGTTCTATGTAGTTTGTTGTCTTCCCTTCTGACATTTTTGTTTTTCAAGCTCTGCTGCTTCTCTACTTGCTTCCCTCTCCTCAAACATCTTGAGAGCTGCAGAGCCAGAAACTGCTTAAGGAAGCTTGGTGTAAAAATAAGTACCATGTCCTTTCTTCTTTGGTTCAGGAATGGAAAGAGACCTGAATGCTGGCGAGACAAATGATTTTCGAGTACTAGTAACTGACGATGAAAGACATAACGCCAGCGGTTCTTCTGGATGAGATTTGGTTTTGGTATGCGATAATAATGGATGGCTACAACACAAAGAACTTGCTTTTCCTAGAAATGTTGGTTGACTATCAGAAACAATGTTAGAGGAAACATCACATGACTCTGTCGTAACAGGAGAAACAGTTCTGGGAGCTATTGTAGCCAAATCTGAAAACACATGTGTAGCCTTTGTTTTAGCTGCACTGGGCTCTGGGCTAAAATTAGAAGTTATTCCAATGTTTTCCTTGTCCTGAGAAAATGGAAGAGCTCTCGGAGGATTAGCAATTTTGGAGGGTTCTAATTTCGATTTATCAATTCCAGCTACATCAAGTGGAAACAAGCCCGAGCGCCTAAACCCATGGGATGCATTTTCTAAGGTCCTTACAGTTTCCCAGGCTGATTTAAATACTGCAGGGAATTGACGTTTTGTTAGAGTTTCGCCAATGTTTTCTAGTTGCCATTTTTTCAAATTTTTCTTCCATGCTGATTTCATTGGAGAGAAAAAACCAACATCACACGGCTGCAAAACGTGAGTGGCGTTAGGTAATAGACAGTAAAGAATGATGCCATTATTGGCACAGAATATAGCTGCAGCACGAGACATATGAGTTGTATGCCCGTCCACAAAAAGTATCACGGGCTTTGTTATATTTGCATTGTCGACAAACTCAGAAAAGTGCTCCAAAAAAGCAACAAAAAGTTCGCTATCCATCCAGCCGTTGCTGGTATGTCCATAGATAGCTGCAGGAAAAGCTTCGATATCAGTGTCTCGAAACCTTTCACCGGGATATACAATTAATGGTGGTACATAATCCCCGAATGCATTAAAGCAAACCATTACAGTGATTTGCATAAAATACATTAATTAGATTCTACCTAAACACATTGCTGTTCTTTCAGCTATATCGGGATGGCGATTTTTAAAACCATAGTACCAATCCTTCCCAGGTTTGTTATTTTTTAACGGGTTACAACGGCGGTCAATATCTAATATTTTCTGAACTTCTTTTAAAAGTTCATCTGTGGTCATAGGATATCCTATTGATGCCATGAGCTTAATGTAGTCACAAAGGACATTTTCTTCTGCCTGAGTAAGAACCGTAGCTGGGCCTGGTCGAACTCTTTCTTTTGGACTGCGTCCGGATAACTTGTATAGTAATGTTGTCTTTGGAACACCAAACAACTCCGCAGCCTTCCTCCTAGACAATGCTCCAGATTTTACGGTAGCAATAGCCTGCTGCATTTTTGAACCTCAATGCCATTTCTTAAGACAAAAGTGGTCGGTAACTGCCGAACTTAAGATTTTATGTCGGCAGTGACCGACCACTCTCTAACAAGGTTAAAAAGGAAGACGCGGGCGCACAGTAGTATATTTTCGACGAGAGGACAGAAGCTACATAACGTACATGCTAAAATACTCGATAAAAAAGCAAGTAATAAAGTTTTAAAAATCACAAAAAGTATGCCTCCCCGTTTACAATCGTAGTTAACAGCAGTAATTTACAAATAAACAAATCTTACCTTGTCTTAGAGTAGCGATTTGTCTGTGATAAATTTCTCTTGAACTGGTAAAAATGGCGAAAAAAATGATGATGTAATTTTTGACGTCATGAAGTTTGATTGGCATATTATTAATTATGATTAATTATCAAAAAGTAATAAGTGGTCGGTTATTGCCGATGGACGAAAATACACGAATCCGCTCTAGGTCACCCATATTTGGTTAAGATTTGGTTAAGTTTGCTGCAATAAATTTAACTTGCTGTTTTTAAAGCCCAGCCCTGTGAAACATCACATTTAGAGATCTCCCTCCACCAATAACGCTGAAAGTTGCCTTTAACCCTTTCCCTCATGAGCATATTGTGAAAAATGGCTGTTTTCACTGAAAAGCCTCCTGATACAAGTTCAAACTGCTATGAAACTATGAAATACTTATCAAATTTGGCACAAATGTTGACTGGACCATTGCCTTTGTAACGACATGCTCTGCCTTAAATTTCCTGTTACCATGGCAACGAGGGGACATCTCAAAATTGCCAAAAATCACTATTTTGCCTCGATTTTTTCCATCAAAATTTATTTGAAAGTGCTGCAACTTCTCATGGGATTGAGAGAGAGTCAAAATAGTATATGAAAAATAATGCTTAGCTGTCTGAGCAGTGACAGCTAGACAAAATAATTACACAAAGTCAGGAGGGTAGAGTCTGGTCTAACCGCTCTAAACTGGTTTAATTAAATTTGCGTGCAAATGCACTGAGGAATTTGCGTGCAAATGCACTGAGGACTTTCTTATATGTTGATTACAGGACAAAAATAATTGAGTACTTATTTGTAAATGTTTTATAATGACTATATATTTGAATAATTATTACATATTCAAGTGTATGTAAATTGAGGTAAATCTGCATGAAACAGGCACACACTAGCTATAGCTGTGTAAAGAGAAAGAAAGGCTTAATAGGTTTTAGGCAATAAAATTTAAGTTATGGATTGCAGATTCAAGGGCCATGAAAAGGTCAAATAATTGATTTTTATGTCCCCCACTACTCTTAGAAGGGAGGGCATAAAGATTTGTCTATGTCTGTCCATCAGACTGACACACTGTTCATGTGATGGAATGCGGAGGCATCTGTGTCATATAAACATGTCACTATAGTTGTTTTTTTTGTGTTTTTTTTTTTTTTTAACTTTGCTGAAATTAACTATAAGTCTATTGTTTATGAATACAAGTATTTGATTCATACAAGGAAAAAACCATAAGGGATAAACTCCTTTTGTGGAGATATTTGAATATGACATTGACCTTTACATGATCTTGACTGTCAAGGTCAGATGCTTGAATTTTGAATAAAATTGCCATATCTTTGTCATTTACAGATAAATTTTGTTCATACTATGATAAATTGATACGTAAGACAAAACCTTCATGTA